CTGCATTTTGACTTTAGTCACTTACTAGAGCTTCAGTAACTGCTTTCAGATTTGTGCTTAGAGAGTAGGGGAAGGAATGCATCGCACTGGTGCATGACTGAATTCCCAGCGAGTTTGAGAACTGGAATCTCTTTCCGATCCAAGCAATTAACCAAATTTCAAGTCTTGGCAGCTGTTTGTTTTCTGAAAGGAAGCAATTATATGACCACAGCAGCAGAATGACAGTGCAGGGAGAGTAGTAAAGCTCTCTTAAATTCCATCTCTGAGTAATGAGCTCACATTTTTATGAACTGATCTCATAAGAAAAAGGAAAAAGGTTACTCAGGACTACGCTTGCATACCCTCACAAAATTCCCTCAAGCTGCAATAGCAGTAAGCTGCAGTTCTCCCACAGCTATTTTCTGGACCTGAAGTACTGCTGCATGTGCTCCTAAGTTGTCAATATAGAAAAGGCAGTATTAGCAGTAAGAACACAGTAACTCATACATAGCACTGGCAGCAATGCCAAACCTAGCCAAGCACTTATTTTTGATCCTTCAGACCCACTCACTGTCTTTAAGTACAAAAGAAGTGTTAGTAGAACTAAGACAGATGGGTGACATAATCTCTTACAATAAAAGCCTTTCCTGCCCATCCCAGGATGAGGATGGTCACCTCCCAAATGTGGACAGAGACAAGGCAGAGGTGTGTAAGGCTTTTTTTGCCTCTGTCTTCAGCATGGATGATGGACCACGGGGGTCTCAGTGCCCTGAGCTGGAAGACCATGAGAATGATCAGCTACCAGACGACTATGAAATTGTGCGGGATCTGCTGCTCCAGCTGGATCCCTACAAATCTATGGGGCCTGATGGGATTCATCCCAGAATCCTCAAAGAGCTGCTGATGTCATCACACAACCTCTCTTGAAGCACAGCTGGAAATGGCAAAGTGCTTGTACTAGAAAAAAGGTGTTTTTATGTAAAGATCAATATCAGGGTACCTCACCACCAGTAATGTTAATGTAGTTTCCTCTGTGTTGTTGTTATGTGAGGATGAAAAAATTAATATTAAAAATATTTAAAGATGTCTATTTTTAAATGTTTTCAGTGCTATTTTTATATCTTTAGAATAAAGAGTGAATACTGCAATTTTATGAGAACAATTGTTAGCTAGCTAGTGGTAAGACAATTAATACAAAATTCTTTATATCTTATAACATCACTTGCCTATTTTTTAAATTTTGAAATTGAAGATTCTTTTCCGAGTTGAGCCGTAATAAATGCAGCATATGTGCATTGTCTCACTAATTATTATGTTTATGTAAAAATGGATGTACCATATTTGTCTTGATTTAAGATAGAAAGATCCCAGGTGAGCTTCCTCTCTGTTCCCATGCTTAAACAATGCAGACAAAATGTCCTGGGATCTAATTTTCCCTCCTTGCTGAATTGTGGTCATGACAACCATCTGTACAAGGATAAGCTTTATTGTCTTGTTCAAGGGTATCATTTTGACTTTATGTTGTGTGATACAATAAGGTAATGGAAAATAATACTGTGCAGCCGTTGGTGCTCTCATCTACATACACTGCTCACATTCTTTTGGGTTGTGTGTGTTTTGGTGCTTGTTTAATATTTATCTGGACATTGTGGCAATGAAAGTATAAAAAACATAACAACATATTTTAAAAAACACATTAGCATTTGAGAGAAGGGAAATTTGAGGTCAAGGGAAATGCCACTGTTCTGACTCTTAAAATTTATCCATTTCTGCTGGGTACCAGGGAATTTATATGTTGAATATGAAATTTAATTTTTCTCTGCTGTGTCAGCAAGGCAAGATTCAATTTTAAAAATCCAGGACTTTGTTTTGGCAAAAAAGATTGCCTAACAGTATGTGGACAAATACTAAGAGAGGTGAAGACAGTGCCAGGTTGTTATTATTTAGCTCCTTTCTGAAATACAGCTATTTATCACATGATGTGGAATAATGCTGAACATATCTATTATTAAGCACAATCTGATAGATAACCACAGGCTGTTTCTTTCCCCAAAACTTCTACAAAAGAAAGCCTTTACTGACACTGGGGGTAAAGTAATTTAGTTGGGCTGTGGACACTCTGTGCTCTAAGTACACATATAATATGTCTGGAATTGAAAACGCATGAGAAGAGATTGCTTAAACTGTATTTCTGAATAATTTTGAGGTATTAGCAGAAGACAAAAAAGAAAGTAAGTCAAGAAAGTTCCTTTCAAAGCCATGACATACAGTCTTGCCAAATATTACCTGAAGAAATAACTGGTTGTTTTACTACTAGCACTGAACAGAAAACAAAGATTTTAGCTTGCTCCAAATTAGATTAATCCTATATGTCTCACAGTATAGTAATAGGAATGATGGAAAGAGTAATTTAAACACTTTAAATTGCTAAAAATAGCAATTCTTACTATTGTTTTTGATTTCTTTGCCCCACATATGCCAGTGATTAACAAAGGTTCTCCTCCTGGCAATATAGGTTTGTCAATTTGAGCATTTTAACTTGAAAGCCATTTGTAAAGGATCACTTGCACATTTCCAGTAAGATTCCCAACCCTGTAATAATCTGGTCAGGCTGGGCAGAGGAATAACAAATGTTACTCTTTCAGTGCAGATTTCTTATCCTTGAGTAGAAGTTATTGAATTTAAGTCACCTGTGTCTCTGTATCCCTCAGCCATTTAATTTACTTGGTCTAGCACATGGATGAGATGGGTAAGAGTCACACAGCCTCTGCTCCAGAAAGGAGCTTCCTGTCAGATGGAGATTCAGTGACTTGCAGAAGTGATCAAAAAGGATGTTATAGTATGAGTTACTAAATTAAGGTGGTGGGGGATGAGGTGTCTCTGTGGGAGGTATACAGCTTGGAATTTTTCTAGCTATTAGTAATAGCTGGTCTTAAAGGCAACAGAGTTTAAACTTATTTTATTTGATGTTTGGCTATGAGCTCATATTGTACTTCTTGGATACTACAGGAGAATTACCTGGAATCTCAGTTGTGGTAAAATACTCAGTCTGCTGTTTGTAGTAATAAAGCTAATGGTAACCAGCTTTGGGGGTACGTTCTGGCCTAACTGATGCAATCCCTGCAACAGCAAACTAATCAGTTTATTAAATTCTCATTATTCTTATATAACATAGGGATTCCTAGTTTCTTTTCTGTGCTGCCCTCAGATAATGCTATTTCAGCAGCAACTCCCAGCTCTGTGACAATTGATGATTTACAGATAGGACAGGGCCAGGCAGCTCTGCAATTCTGCAGTGACGTTCTGCAAACTCCTTCTGGGAACAACATTTTAAGGACAAGGAGGGTAGAGCTACCATGTGTCTAGGCGGTTGTGGTGCTGGTGGTGAAACAATTCACATTATAGGTGAGTGATTCTACTTTGACAATCAATTTTGATCAAATTAATTTCAAAGATACAGCAGGACAACAGGCTGGTAAGACTCTCCAAGTATGACACCGAAAAAGTCGTGAGGTAGCCAATTTTTGACATTTATTCTGTTGCTGACTAGAAAGTTTGCTGACCACTGGTTCTCACACCACTGTTGTGATTTAAAAATAAGAATTTCTATGCAGATATACTTCAGATTGAGAGCAATTTTTTTTCTCCTTGATGGCGCTCCTTTATCTTTAGCACTTGCAGTATCTGACTGCTGCTTGCAGTACATGGAAATCTGTGCAGAGCAGCCAAGGCCCTTTGTGTTGTCCAAGTCTCTTTTTAGTATATCATCACAACCCCCCAACTCTGCCTAATTAGTGCATTCAGGGAAGAACTATCCCCTAAAACTTGTATTTAAAACAACTGTGAACAAGAGATTCTGATCATAAGTACTGCTCTATTCTGACATAACTAAGAATTGGCCAGACTAAGCTGCATTTGTGTTTTGCCCAGGATTCTCTCTCTATGCCCCTTTCCAGGGATAGCAAACTGATCCAGTATCTTATTTTTGGTAGCTTATCTCAAGAAGGTGGCTTTGAGAACTTGGGCATTTTGAGCAGGAGAGAGACTGGAATCACAAATTCACCCTCCAGTCTACCAAGTTCCACCAATCCTGAGTGCGTGTTACACCAGCTGGTGAGTGCTGACCCAGGGAGCACTTGCATTCCAGCATTTTACACAGGCCCAAGCAACTGCCCTTGTAGTGTTAGGACAAGCTTTATATAGAGTTTGGTACCACTGTCTTGGGCAATTGCTGTGCTTAATCATGGGGACCCTGGAGACTGGCCCAGTACTGAAGTCTGAACAACTGCAAAACTCAAATGACAGAAGACAAGAAGCCTATTTCCCAGAATCACAGGATTGCTGGGGTTGGAAGGCACCTCTGGCAATCATCTTGTCCAATCCTCTGCCAACGCAGGTGACCCGGAGCAGGTGACATAGGATTGTGCCCAGGTGGGTTTGGCACATCTCCCAAGAGGGAGACTCCACGACCTCACTGGGCACTCTTCCATTAGCCTGGCTAGTAGAGCTGCCGCTAACAAGTCAAGCTGAGGTTCAGCTCATCTCCTGAAATGGCTGCACGCCACTGTCACTGCAGAGAGGCACACTGTCCGGCCCGCAGCCCCGCCACGGCTGCCTCTGCTACCTGCGCCGGGCCTCGCCGGCCCCCTGGGCAGGAAGGTGGGCCCTGAGTCACTATAGACGGCACGGCCGACCCCCCCAGGACAGGGAGCTGCCCCGGGGCCGGGCGGGGGTCCCGTGGGGCGGTGGGTGCGGCGAAGCCCGAACTCTGCTGCGTCCCCGCAGGTGCGGGGGGAACAATGACCGGCCCCGCCGCAACGAGCGCCGGCGGCGCGCAGGGATCCGCGGCGGCCGCACGCCTAAAGTAGTCCCTCTTTGTTCGGTAGCGTAGGGGACTCGCCCGCGGCCGTGTCCCTCCGCCGCGCCGGCCCCGCGCCCGCTCCCGCCCCCGGCGCTGGCGGCGCAGGCGGGGCCGCCGGGGCGGGGCCGCGGCCCTTTGTGCTCCCAGAATGCACCAGCGCCTCCTCCGCGGGAAACAAAAATGGCGAGGGGCTGCGCCGGGGCCGGGCTGTCCGTGAGCCGGCTCTGACTCCCCCCCGCCGCCGCGGGGCCGCGCCCGGGGGCCCGCTGTGCACCGCGCACCCGGCCGCACCGCACCGCACCGCGCCGCGCCGCCGGGGAGGCTCCCGAGCTCGCCCATTTCCCTGTATGAGGCGGTTGGCACCACTGGAGAGACCGAATGAGGTGAGGGGTGGGGGGAGGGAGGGGCGGCCGGGCCCGCGCGGGTGGGGGGGCAGTCCCGCAGCCCGGGCCGGCGGTGCCGAGTCCCGCATCCCCCTCCGGGCGGGCAGCGGCGAGAGGGGCCTGCTCCGGGGCGGGAGGGCCCCGAGGCCTTGGGGGGAGGGGGAGGGAGCTCCGTGCGAGCGGCCGCGGGCAGCGAGTGAGGGGTCAGCGGTGCTCTCGGTGACCAAAACAAAGGCGGGGAGGCAGGGCCGGCCGGGGGGGCCGCGGCGCGGAGGTGCCATCAGCCCCGCGCCAGCTGTATTTTCGCCTTTCCCTTTAAGGATATTGTCCGAGCAGGCTGCGTTTGCTCGAGTGCGGAGAGAGCAGCACAAAGAGGTGCTGGTGCCCGCTGGTAACTTTGTTTTTGGTTTCTTTTTGTTGGGTTTTTTTGTTTGTTTGTTTGTTTGTTTGGAACGCCTCACCTCTCAGTCTCTGTCAGGCTTGACGATTTGAATGTGCACCGTACGTTTTCAGTCCACCAAAATGCGGTAACTGTTGCTGGCTGAAAGGATGTGCAGTAACGCGTTTTCTTTTATTTGGTGTTGAATTCTGTTGGGAGAATGGGCTGATACTTGTGCTAGTCAAAGAGAACAATATGGTTCTGTGCTGGATGCTCTGGACACCGATATTAGTGTTGAAATACGAGGGGTTGTCGTTCATCCGTGGAGTATCAGGGTGCTATTAAAAGAAGAGGGCCTGCATAATGAAATGAAAGGGTCTGCCAGGAAAGCAGTGTAGCATTGTAGCTGTTTCTGGAATTTGTGATAGGTAGGCCCAGCTCATAACTTTAAAAGGTCAGACGTAGTAATGGATAATGGCATGATTTTCTCCTGACTTAGTGTAAGGGAATGTGATCAATGATACACAATTAACCTGGCAAAAGCATGGAATAATAACCAAATACTTTCCCTGCAGTTTTTTCTTTTGATCTGTAATCAGGTTGGTAAAATTAACACGTTAATATTTGTCCTTTTTTTAGATCTCAAATTACATTTGATTTGAAAAAATTTGAGTTGAAAGAGGGAAAATAGTTTCTGTATTTTTAGAGTACAGTTTAATGAGTTCATAACTTTTCAGTGAAAGGGGAATAAGTGAACACAGATTGAAAAGATGCAAGAAGGTGGATAACATAGTAAAAATGAGAAGGATCTTTGTGAGGAGCTACAAGCTGTGAAACGTGGATCTGTACTGAGAGTATAATGTAGCAATCTTTCCACAGTTAACCCTTATTTCGTCAAATATAGATGTGTGGCTTCTCAACAACTTGCCTTTTCTGTTCTGGGAAGAATTTTAAATTAGATGTAAATGCTTCTCAAAAGTTGACTTAATATGACTAGTCAGCAGTTATTGATATATATATATTATTTGTAATAGGTGAACGAACATGTATTGGTAGTATCGAGTTATGTTTTCCTTCCCTGCATTAGGAGATCAGGTAAAATTTATGAGAAGAGCAGCTGTAACAAATAAGCTACAGTTCATTTCCTAGTGGAGAGTGGACTTCTGTATTCCCTGGAGATAGATGTGAATTAATATAGTACTAGAGGCAGTAAAGCATATTTTGTGCTCCTCGTGTGAGTTATGGAGGAGAAAGCCTGGAGAGAAGAAGAAGCACATGTAATGAAAAGCCAACAGGAATCTTCCCTTAGTTTGTGAATTAACAGCACTTTTTGTGTGATTGGCCTCTGAACTTGCTCAGAGTTGGTTTCACCTTCTTTACAGGCCTTCCTTGCAGGAAATGGAGGGGAAGTGTGTCTTTGAGCAAAACACAACAGGAGAAGAATTATAAAACCACAGATATTGCTGGAGGTATAATCTCCATGAAGGAGTGAAATCAAGCAGCTTAACTTTCTTTGAGGAGAGTTAATGATGAGAGCATTCCTGATGAGTGTGGACATACTTAATGCACTGAATATCTTAGAGGATAATACTACTTTATGTTTTAGATCTATTTATTTTTTTCATTTTGTGGAGTGCTTATGAAGGTTGCTGCTCTTGTAGATGAACCTTAAAGAAGGAAAACTGTCTTTATGGGGTTTTGGTCACCTCTGAAATGCTTTTTCTTCTCCACTTCCCCTCAGTGCAAGTCAGCATGTTGTCATCTCTTTCTCTGCTTGGGTGTTGGTACATCCCTTAGGTATGTTCCTGCATGGACTGGAGAAAGCCAAAAGGCAGTTGCTGTACTCAAGGAGGTGCTAAGTGTACAATTAAGGGAAATTCTGATCTGAAAAGGTGTATTGTGACCCGATACCATTGTTTTCTCCCCGCATTATGTTCTACCTCTTCTCTTCGTGTACAAACACTTGATCAACCCCAAACAAATGGCTCATGCAGTACAGGGCTGCCCTATCCTATTTCCCTGCATATTAAATATGTAAGGAAATATGTTATTCTATAATGATATTTTAAAATACAATACTTTCACTATGCATATCGTATAGAATTAGAACGCTTCTAGTTATTTAAGATTTCTTGAGGGAGAACATGAGCAAGTAAAAACAAAATCACAAATGACTGTGTAGTATTATGGATGTGAGAGTCACTTATTTCAGTGATTATCTCTTTTTAATAGTATGAATCAATCTTATTAAGGACAGTTAGACTTCACAGGGTCAAAATCTGACTCGGGTTAGAAGGCATCTTGGGAGTTCTGTAGTCCTGCTCAGCTTAGCATCAGCCAGGAGGTCAGACCAGGTAGCTTTATTGGTCAACCCTTGAAAGCCTCCAGTGACAGAGGCCACACAGCCACCCTGTGCCCCTGTTCTGCTGCTGAACTGCCCCCATGGGGAGGGGGATGTTCCTTCCCCATCAGAATCTCTCTCACTCTAATGTATGTGTTACCTCTTGTCCTCCTGCCATGCACTATGGTGAAGAGACTAATCCCATCTCACTGATCTTCTCCTAGGAGCTGGAAGGCTCCTCTTAGGTCTCCCTCAAGCCTTTTCTTCTCCAGGCTGAATGAACCTGGTTCCCTCAGCCCCCTCTCATAGGGCAAGTGCTGGCAGTCCCTTTCTGTCTCTGTGGCCCTCCACCAAACTCATCTGCTTTGCTGTCTCTCTTGCACTGGGAGAACAAAAACACAGTATTCCATCTAGATGCCATCTAACAAGTTTTAAAGAAATTGTGGTTAATCAGCAGTAATATCATGCTTCCAGAATTTGAACTGATTATCTCTAGTTACCATAAGGTCTTTCACTAGGTCTTCCTCTCCTGTTCTATGCTGCATTTTCCAGTTTTGAGATAGATCTCAAACCTGCATGAGTTCTCTTAGTAAGATGGTCTGTGCGTGATATCTAATCTGAATTCCCTTCTGATAAATCTTTAAATTCATCTTCCCTTCAGTGTGATTTGATTTAGTAGGAATAGATAAGTTATCTGTCCCACTTTAATGAGTTTTCTCAGTGGATTAAAATTTCTCATAATGTTCTTTGGGCATTTTGTTGTTAAAACTTAGTATCTTTAGATACTTTAGAACTAGCTGTACTCATGGGGTAGCTATTACCTGTTACTGTTGTAGCATTTGTGAATTGGGAGCGCTTCTGGAAGAAGTTTCCTGAAATGGCATCGTCAGTGAACCTGTGACTGTAGTTCAGTCATGCAGCCTGGCAGTGACAGCTGAGGGAGTTTGTGTCCCATGTGTCTTGTTTGAGTTTATTCAGTTGTACTTACAAACCATTCTGTGAAACAAATCGGTGAACTGAGATGGCTGGAAAAAAAAAAAACAACAAAACTGTCAAGGGAGTTTTTCTTAACAGAAGTTGTTTCACAGCAGTTGTTGCAGCTGAAGGAGTACAGGAGTATGAATATCTTAAGGAACAAGCCCTTGGAAACAAGAGTGCTCAGTCTTTTTAATCCTTCAGTCTCTTCACATCTTTTCCCCTAACTTTTCAAACATATTTTAACATGCAGACACATTTTACTGACTTCCACCACTAACTTACGAAATATTGTATGGGTGTGTAAGTATTTTTTTTTTTTTGCATTCTAAGTACTTAAATAAGAATACAGCAGAACATCTTTAATATTGAGTAATGGCTGTAAAGCCATACATGCTGTATGATGTTCTGTGTAACTTGGTGGTGCAAATTAAATGAGATAAAGCAGATTTTTATATCAGGTAAGTTTTTCTGAAGAACAAGGCGTCTGTTGGATATGATGTGATTATAAGTTCTTGGAGAAAAGTTTTTTTAAGGTGGGGAAGTTGTTACTTAAAGGTGACTAGTTTAGTTGGTAACTATAAATAGTATGGTGGGAAGGTGCTATGAAGCTAACTTTAGGGAAAACTTGAAAGCAAGTTTCTGGAAAATGTGGCACCTTTTAAATAATTTCAAAACCAGCAAGCAAGAATTTAACTTCAGGTTGCATTTTAACTTCCAACAAAAGTTTTATTTTAATGGTAGGTGTACTTGTTAGTATTCCATTACAGCTGAGAGAGCTGTGGTGAGACAGATGAGTATGTTAGTAACATTTTGAGCATGTAGCTTTTACACTGGTCTGCACTGCATTTCTTGTACAATGGTTCCAGAAGATACTTCAGAGACACCTACTTGAAGTAGTTTGTGTTCTGTTCAGTAAAGTCAGCTTGTTAAAAACAGTGTCTCTTCCTACTTCATCTCCATCAAAAACGTTGAGGGAATGTTTACCTGAAGAGAAACTTCCTATCCATGTGGAAAGCAACTGTTAAGCTACTGTCAGCCTATTGTGATAACTAAACTATTTTCAGTCTCTGTGAGATAAACCATAAACTGCCACAGCAGGAACTACTTTGTGAGCTGTTTAGTCGACACTTCAGCTCTGCTATCACTCACAAAAAGAGCAGTGTGGACAATGGAGAAGTGTCTGGTTTATTGGCTCACATCTTTACTATGTGTCAAGATTCTCCAGTGTCTGAAGGTGTTATTGTGAATTTATGCTGTTTGTTTAAGTCAATGTATATTCATTTAAGTGTGTTGTGCCAGAAAATGATGCACACTTTTTTGTTATTGTTTCAATGGGGATGTGGGACAAACTTCAGTACTTAAAAGAATGCTTTTGAAGAATTTTTTTTTTAATATAGAGCTCACAGTTGCTTTTTAAATGGAATTTACTGTGTCTTTTTGCATATTCTGTATGAGATCTTTCACACCTTTTTTGGAGTACTGGAAAAGAAGAACAAGCATTCCTGTGTAGTAGCTGCTTTCTCTAGGCCCTTAACCAGATAAAAATCTGGAAAAAAAAATCCTTGAACCTCTCTAAGAGAGTTGTTCTGTCAAAATACTTGTGAATCAGATGTTACTGCTGAGAAGGCAGCAAAAAATAAGTGGGCTGCAGTGCTTTTACTCCGTTATTGTAAACGTATTTTGAATGCTGCATGTGCCCTGTCCCATTTATCAGAGGTCAGAGTTGAAAGCAGCAGTAACTTGAAACAGCTTTTGCTTAAGAAGCAGCAGAATTGATAGGATTCTAACATTTCTATAGCAATTCTCAAACTGTATGGGACACAGATTAATTCAGTGCTTTTGTTGGTGCCTTGAGATGAATTGAAATGTTTCTGGTATGGATGATGTACTTCAGCTATCCTGAGTGAGGTGAAACTGCTCTTTCAGCTGACTGTATCCTGTTGAATTCTCTAATCTGTCCTTGTGTTTGCATCCTAGTTGTACATACTTAAGTTTCTGTAGAAAATACATTTGGATATACAAATGGTAACTTTATTACATAGTCTTGGATTCTGCCTATTACTCATGAAGATTCTTCCTTGTGCACTATTTGATCTTGTTTTGTAATTTTCTATATTTTACTCCTTGGAATGTAGTGTTTGATAGCTAGTTTGAAATAAAAGCATATTCACATCCATATAAATAGGCTACATTTTGTGGAATTGTATGAAGAAAAATGATTGATTCAAATAACTTATAATTTTGGGTTTCATGGTTGCAAGATATTTTGTTTTTCCTTCCTTATTATTTTCTGCTCTTATTCTAACAGAGAGGAAAATTCATTTTACATAAATTGAACATGTAGAAGTTCTTTCTGTACTGGAAACCTCTACAGCTCTGCCTGTGGGTCAGGCATGATGCTGCGTTGGAAGTACCTCCATCGGTATTTACCTTGAGTGATTTCTCCACACCTCAGCCCCTCGTTTTTATTTTGTTTTGATTCTGAGTAACTGCTGAGCACCCCCTTAGTTGTCAACTACTACTCTCCCTACCAAGATAAGGCAGTTAGAATTGGCTTAGGACCTTTTTAGCTTCCCTGGAATTTTAGAAAACTGTCAGTGATTTGAGTGACTGAAGTTTTACATACGTAATCCTGTATTGGATGTTTTTGGTGTGTTCTTTGATACTTCTGGTGATTTTTGTGAAGACTCTGAGCTGGAAAGTTTGTGTCTCCCCATCCCCATTTACAGCAGTTGATTTCATAGAACACTTTTCTTTATAAACTTGTCCCTTTCAAATTTTGTAGACTCGTGTCATAGCAGAGGCACCACCACTAAAGGTGTCTGAAGCCTGAAGACATGAGCAGGTCTTTAGTTACCTGAAGTTCCAGAGTTAGTCATATTAATATTTAAAATACATGGTTTCTTTATCCTAATGGAAACCTTTTCTCCTGCTTCCCTGTCTTTAGAGACTCTACAGCGGTGGGTAATTCACTGGTCCACAAGCGCTCTCCTTTACGCCGCAGCCAGAAGAGCTCAGCGTCTGTGACCAAGCTGTCCTTGCGGGATGGACAGAAAGCCAAAAAACCATTTTGTAAATTTGAGGAAGGTCAGGATGTCCTAGCTAGATGGTCAGATGGCTTGTTTTATCTTGGAACTATCAAAAAGGTAAACAAATTTTTAACTTCACTGAGTCTTAAAGTATCATATGTAGTTGAACATTGCGGTATTATCGTGTTGCCTTTGTAGTGTTATGTACATTCTTCTGTTTAGTCCTTTTACTCATGGCTTCCACTGTATTTTTGTTTCTCAGATAAACAAACTGAAACAGAACTGCTTCATTATATTCGAAGACAGTTCCAAATCCTGGGTTCTCTGGAAGGACATACAAACAGGCAAGAACTTCAATGAAGTAGTCATTGCTTAGTATCTTATTTGTATAGATTACTGTATCTGTTAAAATAAATGATTACATAATATTCTCGTATCCTAAAGAGTGATATAATTTAATGTGATCCAGGACCACAAATTAGACAAATGGAAAAAATATTTTCAAACAACCGTCTATTACTGAAGTTACTTGTTTTGTTGTGGTTTTTTGTTTGTTTTGGTTTTGTCCTTTTTTTTTTATTTTGTTTTGGCTTTTTTAATTGTTTTCACATAACTATGTCTGGGGTAGCGGAGAAGACTTCTAAAAATAATCACGTTTGAGTTTGTTTGGATGGGGATAGAGTCTGTCCTTTCTCTGTCTTGAATGAAAACTCTTGGCTCTAATTTACACCAAGTTTATGTCCTCCTACTGTTTTCAGTTGAAACAACATGTTGTGGAAAGAAACTAAAACCTGGAAAATCTTTAATGGAGTTTTGACGTTTAAAAGTAACACCACAACTGTTGCACATAAGAAGCCATTACAGGTTTTTGAGTATTCGTGTAATATAAAGAAATGTATCAAGTGAGACATCTATTGTATAGTACCTTTTTGGTTTTCAGATATTTGGGGAGTAGTAGAAGCATGGATGACAATTTCTTCCGAAAATCAGTTACAATTTCCTCAGCGTACAAAAGCAATGGAAACCTGAGCTGGCTCTCACTGATTCTTGATGTTTAAACTAAACACTGCCTGCTAAAAGGAGAAGCTTTTTATTTGTGATAGCAAAAAATCAACTGTTTTATTTCTTAGAAACTTGTAAAAAAAAATGCTGTTCTATTCTGTAAAGTACAAGTTTATGATCTTTGATTCATTTATCGTAACTATCAAAATTTAATAATGTGTATAAGGACGTTTCAACTCAGAATATTCTGTGATTAAGAAGCTTGTATTTCAATCCAGATTTTTACATTGATATGTGGTATAAATGGAGCAAGATGTAGTTTTGTTTCCAGTTTGCAAGCTTACTTTTTTCCTTCCCTCTGCTGTAACTGTGCTTTTGTATGCTTGCAAATATGTGTAAGTAGTAATAAATCTTTCCTAAGAATATTAGAGTTTAATATTAAAGCATCTTGGACAGATCTGTCAAAAAGATATGCACCAAATTGTGTATGTATTTACATGAAAAGAAACACAAAGTAATATAAACATAAAAGATATTTATTAGTTATTCAGATAGAATTTATTTATACGTATTTTTAGCCTGAATTTACATTCTTTATTCCATTGTTGAATTTTTATTGTTGATGTTAAGGAACCCTGGACTGCATATTAAGTAGGCAATATAAAGCCTATAAATATCTTATAGCTTATGATAAGTAATATAAATATTTGTAGCACAATCTGTACAAAATGTCTGAATATATTCTTGTGAAGAAGTTTGGCTCTGTAACAATGTGTTTCTACAATGCACGCATCTGTAACTGAAATTAAAAGCTATATGTGTGGTAACTGTTCCAACTGCAGATGTAGTTGAAAAAAAATCACATTCTCATCTTTGTCTAGGAGCCACTGAAAGTGGGGAAATGGTCTGTACAATATGTCAGGAAGAGTATTCAGAAGCACCGAATGAAATGGTTATATGTGATAAATGTGGGCAAGGTAACTAGATATTTTTTTTTCTATTTACTGCATTTTTAAAGATGTTTTGATTTGTTTCATGAAGGAGGATATTTGCCTGGCAATGACTGACTGCTCAACTGATCTTAAATTTTGTAGCCCTTAGTGGCTATTAACAGCTCAGTGAATGATGAGAATCCATGTTAAAGTGACTAACACCTGTTCTGTAAGTCAAGATTATTATTATTTTTCTACTAAGAAAATTTAAAATACCATTTTGAATTTGTGACTGATCTTTTTTTGATCAGGTTTTCGACACTTAATGATGGATAATGCCTTATAGTTGCATTAAAGTTATATGTAGTTAATTCTGTGTAAGCTTCTTTTGCCATTTTAATAACAGTTTGACTGGTCATTTCTTATACAGGTTATCATCAGCTGTGTCACACACCAAATATTGATTCCAGTGTGATTGATTCAGATGACAAATGGCTCTGTCGACAGTGTGTTTTTGCAACAACAACAAAGGTGTGTTTTTAGAAAAAGAATTAAATACATTTTATATTGCAGGCATCTTTGCCTTTGAAATTGAAATAATGAAAAGATAAAGCATTTTTAAAAGTTATTTCTGTTTCTGTTATCTTTGATCTGAATGCAGGTTTTGTATGTTGAGAAGATATACTTATTTTAGAAATAGGTGATGTTTTGGTTTTAAACAAACACACTAGTATTAAAACATAAATGCAGGTGAAAGTATTTGACTCGATTATAGAAAGTTTCAGAAATGTCTTACTGGTTTTTGTGAACAAATGTGTTTGTTTTGACTCAGAGGGGCGGCGCGCTTAAGAAAGGACCAAATGCCAAAGCACTGCAAGTCATGAAACAAACGTTACCATACAATGCAACAGACCTGGAGTGGGATGCAGGTCATAAAACCAATGTGCAGCAGTGTTACTGCTATTGTGGAGGACCTGGAGAGTAAGTAAATGGACAGTGTGTAAGAACTTCTCTCTATAATGCAGCTGCAAACTTGGACTCTTCTTGTAGACTTGCTTGTGAACTTGTTAGTTACTGTTCCTATTTTGTGCAGGTGTTAAAGCTGGATGCAAAGTGGACTTTTGAATTCTCTATGCATTTTTAAGCGTCTCATGGGAAATACATTTTCTTTTCTCATAAAATATTTAGTTTTGTTTTAATTTTGTCATGTGGCCATCACATAAAATCACAGTACAATCTACAATCAGCAAGAGGCAGTATTTTTCTGATGTTAACTCGGTCATAAGTCACAAAAATAAATGTACCTAGAGATTAGTTTATTAAGTTTTTTTGGAATATGCAGCTGTCTGATTCTACCATAGCATCATACCCTGGTTTTCAGTCAGTGGCAGGGGAAAGATTCTTTTTCCTCTTGTGGCATTACAGAGTCCTCTGCTGGTTCTTTTTTACAAGAAAGGCAAGAAGAGGACTTCTTAAGCAGGTAGAGATAAGTACTCTGGTGTCTGCATGAATGAGTGAATGAATAAGATAGCATTGAAGATTGGAGATCAAGGCAAGTAAAGAGTCAAAAAGTCAAAGAAGCAACGTTTTTGAATTTACACTCACAGGACAGAGCTCTGGTTTGAGAATTTTGGAGACTTGGACAAACACCCCCTCAGTTTTGCATGGTTCCTTTTCTCAAGGGAGAAGCTGAAAAAGGAAAAGAAAAACCCCTGTAAACTATGAGGTTTCTTTTGAGGATTCAAGTAGTAGAATCCCCAGAACAAATGTTTGTGACTTAATACAGCTGTGCTTTGCTTTGAAAAATAACAAGGAAGCTAATCTGGTATGTGAGAAGGAGCTTTTATGGAGTTACTGAATTTTTATTATTTTATTATTGAGAATTAGAAGTTGGTGGATGGAGTAAATGAAATGTTTATTTTCTTCATGTAATAACTTAGTTCAGTCTTTTACTAGGCTGTCTTTTATTATTCCTGGTCTCTCTTTTCTAGTAGTGATTCCTTATGGAACTAAATGTTGCTGAAATATCCCTAGAGATGGCTGTTTTATAAACTGTGAAAATCAGTTTGGGTCAAAAGATCTCTTGATATTAATTTAAACATAACAAAGAACAGTTTTTGGTAACTTTTTTAACACATCTTGTTTTTCTTTCTGTTGGTGAAGCTGGTATCTAAAGATGTTGCAGTGCTGCAAATGTAAGCAGTGGTTTCATGAGGCTTGTGTGCAGTGCCTCCAAAAGCCAATGCTTTTTGGTGACAGGTAAGAAAATTAAGCTATACTTTATGGTTGTCTCTGTTTAAAATGTGAAGGAAGTCTCACATAGGAGCTTTTATTAGGGCAGCCATAATACAACAGAATTTTTAAAAAATGGATTGTGTTTTGAGTAGATTATACAAAATAAAGGATGTGTTCAGGTGCCAGGAAAATGCAGTTCTTCATCTCAGTTGAATGAAGGAGGAGGTGTGGTGGTGGGTGATGGAGATGTAACCAAGGATGAGTTGAATTCCAGCTGTTGCTGACTTCATTTTGTGTTTAAGTCCATTATACTACAGGAGCTGGGAGGTGGGAAGCTTTAAAGCAGACCCCTTTAGTGGGCCTGAGTTCGGATAAGGATAAGGGCGTTCAAGGTCCTGCTGTGCTGGTGACTGATGTCTTACACACATGGACACCGTGCTTGGAGAGGGGCTGTCGGTGAGCAGGTCCCTGTACTGACTGGGGGGATTGGAGAGAGCTGGAAGGATACTTAGACTGAGGGGAGCTCTACGTCCTCTGTTCATGGGTAGTGAGTCAGAACACAAAGAAATGAAAAAGGGTGCTGGTTTGTGCTTTCATTTTAAGAGGAGCTTGGAGCATTTGCAGCAGACAGAAAACTGGAGAAAGGAATCAAGGAGTATCTCATTTTTTATCTATTATACCTTTAGCGGTTGTTTGTGCTGGAATATTTGTATGAAAGAATGGGGTTAGGACCCAGGAAGGCACAGGTCCTAAAGGTGCGTGCTCACACTGATGCACAGGGTTTTGCATTTGAGAGAGTGGGCTGGGGATATTACAGAGCATCTTCACTGATCCAGTCCCAGGCTGAGGGAGTTTCTCAGGGAGTATGAAACAGTGGGTGCCAGGTTGGAATTGAAGTACCTTGTATCTGGCCTGGTAGGTATCAGCACAGATTGTGGAAGTTGCTAAAGTAAGGTGCAGAATAAAGGCACTCACAAATCTCTTTTGGCTGGGTTTCTAGCTTGCTTAACTTGTTTTTTCATAACCAGGGTGTTAGAACATTGAGAGCGTGTGTGTAGGGACACCCACCACCCAGACACACGTACCTATACATATGTGTGTATTTTTAGGTTTTATACCTTCATTTGCTCAGTTTGCAGTTCTGGACCAGAATACCTCAAACGTTTACCCTTGAGATGGTAAGTATGAATTAAAAAAAAAAAAAAAAAAAGGATGAGTTGAATATATGCTCTGCTTTTCTTGTTGGTGTTTGGGTTCTCCTTGCTAAAAAGGAAATCCACTTGTTAGCTTGAGCTGTTCCCTGAGTTGTTCTTGCTGTTTATAGACCAGGGATAAGTTTCATTCAAAGTTTATCCTTAAATGTAGAGATATACTGTGATTGCATGTTCTTGGGGTTTATTTCTGGGATTGTTCAGTGAAGTAGCAAGCAACTACTCACATGTTGTATATGTGAAGATTGCAATACCTGAGTTAAATACTTTTTGCAGGCTTAGGATCCTGCAATTATGTAAACCAGATGTAGTGAGTACTGGAGTACATATGTTGACACACTTTATAATAGTGTCCTTGATGAGTCTTAATGTTAGCTGTAGTTTGGAATCTGTGAACTAACATGTTAGAAATTTTATCCAATTTAGTGCAAATATACCTAATGCTAAATATATGGAGGAAATTATGTTGTTGAATGTTAGTTCATCAAAATACTTGCATGAATTCAGAACTGATAACATTCAACTGTGGATTCAGACTTGCTTAAATATCCCGTGGTTCAGACCAGTTTTGGAGTTTTAAAGATCATGACAATGCCATGAAAACACAGAAATGAAAGTAAAATGCAAAACAGAATGAATCACTTGAAGAGAAGTTACAGAAGCCTTCATGATGTTGTCTAGATTGAGTGTTTTAAGTTGTGCTTTGTGTTCCTCCAACTGTACTGTGCTAATATCTCCTCTACCAAATTATTTCAAAGGAAGGCAGTTGGAAGAAAAATACATGTTTTCTCTTTTTTTTTTTAATTTAAATATTCTAGGGTAGATATAGCACATCTATGCCTTTACAACCTAAGTGTTATTCATAAGAAGAAATATTTTGATTCGGAGCTTGAACTTATGGCCTACATTAATGAAAACTGGGATAGATTGCATCCTGGTGAGGTAAGTAATTGCAGAACCCTGTCTTGCTTTCCTCACAGTGCATACATATGTCCTGACACTTGACAGTCGATGAAGTGTTTTATTCTGCATATTAAATCCTTTAGTACCTTAAAATCTGGTAGTCCTAAGTAATGAGTTAAAAAGCATTCTGTTTCTGCAAGGAAATTAAGTGGTGTATGTTTTTCTAAGCTGAAATTTCTTCAAATTATCCATCTAACTTATTATTTTCATGGTGACTTTTAATTATTTATACTCAACTGTGTATACCATCACATATCTCTATTTTTCTTCCATGTTGTAGTTCTCTTACTACTTTGGTATTTTCATGTGCCCCAACCAGAAAATCGAAATGTAGAACTGAATTCAGAGTGTGTTGCACATGAAGATATATCCAAAGTCTCTAAGTAAAACAATAGCAAAATATTATGCACAAACATTTCTTCTGTCCTTCCTCTTTCAAACAATGGGGCTGGTCACTTTGAGTCCTGGTCTAAACATTGTTTTGATCCTTTCCCAGTTGGATTCAGCTACTTGTTAAGGCATCTTGGGTTTAGTTCATTACTAGACTAGTTATTTTTCTAGCTATTTGCTTACTGGGCATTTAGTTCAGCATCGAAGGAAATCTATTTACTCAAGTAGATTGACTTTGTATTTAACTAAGAGAGTCAGTGTTGGTCTTTGTTCCTGTGTGTAATATTAAATGCAAGAAATTTATGTCTGAGTTCAAATTGGCACCCTGCCAGTGGAGTGTGCAATTCTCTGTGCCTGAAAATTGTTTAGGGTTTTGAAGTTTTTTTTAATACAGGTGGCATATAAATGGTTTGAAATGGTTTCTTGTCATGAGTACATGATAAGAAAAAGCTTCTTTTCAGTAAATTCATACATCTGTAATCCATTTTTACTAGCAGACACAATTTGAGAATCAAATATATGTTCTTGGTTTAAATGAGTAACTATTTTTAATAAATAATGGAAAATAGTTTAAAATACATATGTTAAGACTGTCAGTGTAAATAGTTTGTTAGACAAGCAAACACTAAAGCATTACTAGAAAATTAGTGTCATTATGAATAGATATGTGGTTTATTTTGATATGTATGGCATCTCTTACCTAAGTCATATCAAATCAATAATTCTGTCATATCAAGTCTCAAGCTTTAATTGGAAAAAAAGGCTGCACAAAATGTAATTCTCACACCATCTTTTCAATAGAAAATGCATGTTCTAGCTATCTTACTGTATAGTTTAACAAATACGTAAGCTGTGTTTAATTTTGATTTTTGTTTCTCTTAGTATTGAGGGAAACGTAGAAGGAATTTTTTGTTCATTTAACACTTGTCCACTTCTCTCTTTGTGTCCAGCATACTTGCTCTGCTTGTCTCTGTAATTCTTAATTTTTCGGAGAGAAGATTCCATGTTTTAAAAGCTTGATAGGGACTAACTACTTCAGGCTTTGCTGAAAGGAGGGAGGTTAGACTGGGTCTTAGCAAAAGAAGCATGAAAATGGATTTCCTGTTTGTTTTGGGTTTTGTGTTTTTGTGGGGTTTTGTTTTTTTGGTTTTGGTGTTTGGGTTTTGTTCGTTTTTGGGTTTTTTTTGCATTTTTGTTTTGGTTTTTGTTTGTTTTTTATTCTAATAACTTTTCTGGGTGTTCTCCATATTTTTTTTTTGTATCATGATGAGTAATGTTGGAAAATTCAAATCTGTAGTTACAATGACTCAAAGTAACTGGAACCTTTCTACTACTGGAGAATTCGACAGGCTAAATGATTTCTCACTACTTTACAGCTGGCAGATACACCAAAATCTGAAAGATATGAGCATGTCCTGGAGGCATTAAACGATTACAAGACCATGTAAGTTATTGGTACTTTTGCTTTAAACGTTGTTCACCTATTTAATCTGACCTAGATGAGTCTTCAGTTTAGGTGATAATTGCTTTGGCCACAGATAACATTTAAATTTTAACACTGTTTCTATTTCAAACTATAACATTATGTAAGTATTTGAGTGGAACCCAGACCGTGAGAAAAATTGTAACTTCCACTCTCTTTCCACTTCACATTCTGTACTTGAGAGTGAGGGTTGTGTAAAGTAGCATTTGAATGAGTATTTTATTTGCATAGTTTGGTTTGCATGTACACTGTTATTTTAAAAGTTGCTTTCCCTGTGATCAGAATTATAACAATTTGTTTAAAATCATCTAGGTTTATGTCTGGAAAAGAAATAAAGAAAAAGAAGCATTTGTTTGGTTTGAGAATTCGTGTTCCTCCTGTGCCACCAAATGCTGCTTTCAGGGCTGAGAAAGAACCAGAAGGAACTTCTCATGAGTTCAAAATTAAAGGCAGAAAGTCATCGAAACCCATTCCTGATGTGAGGTAAAATAACCTGGCAAGTCATCCTGGCAATGGGGCTACTTGGGGCATTTTTTTGGTGCCTATAAAAAAGACCCTTTTATTGTAGAATGTATTTTAAAAAAAAGGCAACAGTAAAGGTGGATTATTTGTGAGAACAAGGTCTTAAAAAATTGTAGTTAACTTTCTATTAGGATTCTTCTGAAAAAGTCAACATGAAATTTAGCAGTAAGGACAGTAGAAAATATCCCAACTTTGCCATTTGGGAAACAAAATCTCTTGCCTTTCTGGATCTCTTAGGCAATAATCTAACTAGAATTCTGAATAGGAAGTATGTTGTGAAATTGTAACTTGCATTGGTAAATTTGCCATCATTTTGACCAAGTGTGATCCTATGAATAAACAACATTTAAAACCTGTTCATTCCTCTCAACATGTGGGAATCAGTAATGTCCCTGGAAATATCTTGTATCTGTTAATGTTACTATCCAGACAAAACCATGTAGCTTTGTCCCTGACAATTTTAATTTGCCAGCATAACCTCATTTAGTACAGTGTTTCAGTAACAGACATCTAAGTGTGTGTTCATTGCCAAAGGGAATATTCCATGAAAATTATCATCAGTAATACAGAACAAAATACAAATTTTCTTCTAGGGAACTAAGTAACGGTATAGAGAAAAAGGGGAAAAAAAAATCAGTCGGTCGTCCACCTGGTCCCTATACAAGAAAAATGATTCACAAAACTCCAGAGTCGTCTCCTCTGGTAAGAATATTTCTTCCCCTTCCCCTCATCCTTCTAATTGCATCATAATTGTTGAAGAAAAACATAACCAGTTAATATGAATTATGATGTTCCCCCATTAGCTCTCAAACAGAATTGATACAATAATCAAAACCTGAGTTGAGGGACCTTTTTTTTGTTTGTTTTTTCCCCCTTAGGATAATGAACCAGTTCCGGTGATAGAGAACCCAGCCTTGGAATTACCCTGCACTGTTGGGTAAATTAAAAAAAAAATCCTGTGAAAAATTATAATACCATGTAATTTATCTGTTTGCTTCTGAAATGTCAGCTCAGTTTTTAATACAAGATTATTTTCATTGCATGGCAATCCTGTTATCTTGCAAAACAGGAAATCTGATGGAACTGCACATTCGTCCAATACCTCAGATGTGGAATCCACAGGTGCTGCCAGTATGAAAGAAACTACCTCATCTAGCATTTCCAGACATTATAGGTAACTATTCAGTTACTCTGCTATAAACATTAAGATTTACAGTATATGAATGTTAATATGATTTTCTCAGAGTAGAGCTATAAATTGCATGGGGAAGTCTAAAGAAATAGGACAAATGAAATCCGGTCTTGATTAGCTCTGCTTACAGCTCACAGGGTGAGGATTTTTTGGTGCTTGCCAACTGTTGTTCTTTGATGTAAAATGTTGTATTTGCTAAGTTATATTTGCTTAAACGTTAAACTCCATAAACACTTGCTGAGCTTACTGTTCCAATAAAGGCCACAAAAGAACTGATGTGTACCCTGAATTAATTTTAGCAGCCTTTGTTTTTGTAGGTTTGTGCATTCATGTTAAAGAATACTAAGTATGCTGTGATTTTCTATGGTCAATAGAGCATGAAAAAATTCTGGCACAGTTTTTGTAAATAAATTATTAACTACAGTTGACTTTCCTGCAAATAAATTGTTACTTGAACTTTTCCCTCTCTCAAGTTCAGCAAACATAAGTTTCTCTTTTATTGAGGTACATGCATCCTACTCCTTTGTTACCTCTTTCTGGTTCATGCTATCAAGTGCTTTCATGAGTCAATTTTGTGTGCATTACTGCTCTCAATAATCTGCTTTCAAAAAACTTGTGTTTAGAGTTCTGAAATTGTTACCTAAGTGCCATACTTACAGTTACCTATTTATAGGCAAGAAGTATTTTTATCAGTGAAAAATAGAACAAGTTATTTCATGAGTGGCATGGAAATAGCTGATGATAAGGCATACATTTTGAATAGATTCCTTGGAGTTAATGCTGTGGGGTTTTATTTTCACTAGTTTATCTGACTCGAGAAAAAGGACTCGTACAGGAAGAACTTGGCCTGCTGCAATACCACATTTGAGGAGGAGAGGGCGCTTTCCACGAAAAGCACTCCAGACTCAAAATTCAGAAATCGTAAAAGATGATGAGAGCAAGGAAGATTACCAGTATGATGAACTCAATACAGAGATACTTAACAACTTAGCAGATCAGGAGTTACAGCTCAATCATCTAAAGAACTCCATTACTAGTTATTTTGGTGCAGCAGGTAGGATAGCCTGTGGGGAAAAATACCGTGTCTTGGCTCGTCGGGTGACGCTTGATGGAAAGGTGCAGTATCTTGTGGAGTGGGAAGGAGCAACTGCATCCTGACTGTAGGACTGAACATTATGTTCACTGCACTGTCATCTGTAAGTACAGTTCATAATGCAGAGCCATGAGAGAAATGGTCTTTAAATGTGTTTTTAAAAAGAAACAAACAAACAAAACCTTTTTAGCCTTAACATGTAATTGTTATCATTACAGCTCTTGTGATAAAGACTTATCTTTTTAAAATCTGATCTGAGACTTAAATTTTTTAATCTGAACGTTGTTAGATTGTTTTAGGTTGGGATATTTTGGGTTACAATTGCTTAAAAATGTGCATGGTGTTTAAAAAAAGATGACATTTTCTAGAGAACATTCCATGGATACAGTTATTGTGATTTAGAGAAAATATTATGTAGATAGCACAAATATTTGAAAAATCTTGGTTTGTTTTCTTACCCAAATGTTTGCAGAAATGTATTTCTATTTCAATACCTTCTAGATTTCATAAGTGCAGTGTATATAATGCCTACTGAAGACTGTAAAATACTGAAGTTTTCTTTCAAACAAAGTGTAAAAAAAAAAAAAAAAAGGAAAAAATATATTGAGCCTGTAAATTGCTCTGTGACCAGACTTCATTGTCTTCTTAATATATTCTGTGTGTGTGTGTGCGTGTGTGTGTGTATATACATATGTATATATGCACACACCTCCCTGTGCGTGTGTATATATGTGTGATTGTGACTATGCAATACAAATTATGGGATTGGGCAGCTTCTGAGAATTCATCCCATAATTCTTTTTTCAGGAATAGTTGCCAGTATTTACACAGCAGCATTTCTTCTCAGGCTTATTGGGTGCTGTTGCTTTTTATGTACTAAGGAAAAGTGTCCAACCAGTGCAGCGTGTTCTGGCAATGGGTGCAGTCATTGACGTTCCATTATTTTCCATTTGAATTAACTGTCAAAAAATAAGGCAGGATCTGAACATTTTGAAATTAACTCTACTGGAAATAACAATGTGCAAGTTCTTGTGGCACTCTGATTGTAAATTTTGTGTCCCAGTTATAAAGTAAGTTGACAGGAGTCACATGCAGGATTTCTACGTATCTGTAGAAATGGTCATATTTTGATAAATGTAGTATGAACTAAGTGTATTATTGCACAGGGTCAACAAATGTTGCCATTTGAAGTAACATTACTGATTTTATTACAACATTACCTCTTCTGTGTTTATAAAATGTACCAAGTTTTAAATCGAGGAGTTTATTTTACTTGTTTAAAAAAAAAAGTCAAAAAAGTCTCTTGCCAGTATTAGATGTTTTTTCTTTGTCTGCTACTTTTGAGGGGGTTTTAGCCAAAGAGTAAACAGAAGAATATTTTTACTTTGGTGGTTATTCACTGTACTGTATAAGGTTAGATTTCTTACATGCTTACAGTTTACCACCAAAATAAAATTATGTAACATTAACAAATGACAGAGTGGTTTAAAGTGTGCTACTTGGGTTAGTACCTATTTATTCCATTACTTGGTTATTTCACTTTTTCTGCTCATCTTGAACATCTTAAGAAGGTGATTCTTTTTCTGGATTTTTTTTTTTCTGTCACCTTATAGCCAAAGGAAGCAGAGAAAGCTTTTTTTTCCTGTGCTTGGATTGTGGCTGGCTGGGTTATATTAGCTTTATAAAAATGCTAATTAAAAACTGCCACTTCTGTTTACCTTCACTAAAATGTGTGGGTTTTTTTCTCACACCCCCAGCTATTAATTTAATGTTGCCTTGCCTGTAGCTGCAATATTTTGATAACACAGCAACTTCATGTTAATTTTTGAATGTTTATATCTTGAGATAATGCAAAATGTTAAGCCTTTGTAACCTTACTCACACCATCTGTATTTGTCTTTATTGTTTCACTTTATCCAAGTCCTTTAATTCTAACTGAACACCAGCAGTATTTTTCATAAAGCTTCATTTAAAGATAAATATTGGAATGTACTTGGGGACTTTAGTGGGGATGGGGGGGGAGAAAATATTTGTCAAACTTAAGCTGTCCATAGACTTAACTATTGTGAATGTCATTTCATTTTATTACGGTGGTTGAGTTAACTCTGATGTTCAGTTTGTATTTTTGGAATTGCTTTTTTTCCTAGAATTAAAAGACCAACATTAAATGTGTGTATTTTTTGAGAGAGAAGAATGAGTTTTGATTCTGTATTCTTGTGAAGCACATGCTTGGTGGCACCCTCCCATCTGTTACATCCCTGTCTGTAGCTTTCCTGTTCCTGGCCTGGAGACACTTGCCCTGCACATAGACACTAACTGGTGTTCCAGCTCTGGTTGAGGGATGCTTTGTTACAAGGTGTCATGTACTGGAAAATGCTGCAATAGTGCTGCTGAAGATAGAGCTAGAGGAGTAGTTAAAGCACACCTACAAATGCCTTTCTCATTTTCTGTGACTGTCCCTGTACGTGGTAGTGGTGTGTCTAAAGGAAAAGACAAATGTTGCTGTATGTACTGATTCCATTTTGGTGTAACTCGATCACTGTATGTATGCATGTGTGTAAATATCTGTAATTCAGCTTTGTTGTGGGCACTGATTTAGAACCATTTCTCTGTGTATGAGATCTAATATTTTTCCATTATATATTATTTGTATTACAGTAGTATTTAGGTAGGAGAAGTCTCTTGTGACTGTTCTAAAAATAGAGGTATTGCATGAACAAGACAGCAAGGAAATAATGGCACAATACTGGTCAGAATTGTAAAATAAGCATCATAGCAAACTATTTGTCAAATCATTGTTCAACAAAATCTTCAACAGAAAATTTAAATAAAACTATGCTTTTCTATGCATAACAGGCAGTTTGAGTGAGATTACGAAGGAATTTTGGAAAACCTCTTAGCATGATATGTGAAATGAAGGTCAATATTTTAATTTAACATGAAGACAGAAATAAAAAAGGCATTGAAGGTGAAGACACACACTTTATTGTCTGGGGGAGGGAAGATAATTTAATAAAAAGAAAAATGGCTTTGTCTGTGGAACATCCTATTAAAGTGATCTTTAGTGTTATATTTTAAAAGGAAATTGGTGAATTGAGATGGAACTTGCCAAGGCTGAAGAAGGAGCAGTAGTCAGAACAGTGATAAGGATGAACTGGACAGGAGCATCAGTTCTGTGCACAGAGGGAAGAGGATGAATCTTGCAAATGCTATGCAGGTAAAATTTTCAGGCACATCTCTGGTTCCCCCATCTGTCTGAATGAAAAGTACCATTGCAGTTAAGGGTATCATGGCAGGAAATTATATTCTGTAGAAATGGAGAAAAGGATGCTGAGTTGCGTTTGGTCAATGCTGAACTTACACTGATGGCTAAACACCCATATGGGTGTGTCAGATCTACTGATATCCTAGTTTGGTCAGAAAAACATAGTGATGCATGTGGAAAAAAATCAGAATTGTCAACGTTTGTAGAAAAGTTAGTTTATTTTTTGGTATAAATTGGATCATCTGTAGGTGAGGTGTAAAGAAGAGAAAGATGTGGGAAAAGAGTCTCCTTTGGAGTCACTGAAGAAAGCTGAAGGTGAAATGGCTGTCTTCTAGAAAAGAATACAGGGGAATAGCAAGGAAAAGCAAAAGACAAGTACCAGTACAAGCTGTGCACAGTCTGAGAATTAGCTTGGAATTTGATGCTTTTGCTGTCTTTCACTTATTCAGCAACAATGAAACAAGATTTTTTACTGTCTTGATGTTTTAATATTTTCCATTTTTGTAGCCCTTTATGTTTCTCTCAGCTAGCTCATCTCTGCTGTTTTTTAAATTAGATTTGTACATATTCCAGCATTGAGATCCATGTGCCGTAACATCAACAGTTGTTCTGGTTTTCATGGGTACCAGTGCAATGTTTTGCCTGCAGATATTAGTTTTTCGAATACAGCTTTAGCTCATACAGTTCTTTTCTTATAATCTTTCTTCTGATTTATTCACTGATATTTCATCAGCGTGTTTGTCTCTTCCACTTTTTCCGCTTTGTTTCCAGCTTCTGAATTTGACAACATTCTGTTTGTTTCCCATTGTTACCTATTTTGTGTTTGGCAGTGATTGACTTCCATGTGGTTTTGGTTTCCTAGTCTTCTGTTTACTTAACGTTCAGTGTAGTAGCATTAGCTTCCAGTCTCAACATCTGCATTTTTACTGTAACAAGCTCATTTGCTTCAAAACCTGCTTTAAAGCAGGGAGCTAATTAATGATTCTGTCTTGCTCTAAATAAAGTTTGTTTGGCTGTAAGCACCATTTCTAAGTCCTTCATTTTTGCTTTGCCATTCCCTAATGAATCCTCACAAAACTTGCTGTCATTGCATTCACTCGTGTCACTCTCTCATGGGATAGTTACTGCTTTGCTATGTTTGTTTCTCTCATTCTTGTACTACTTTGTGTTTTTTGGTTGCTCTCATTTGGTATCCAGAACTTCACAAATTGCATGATAGCAGAGATCAGAAAGCTTTAAGATAATAAAATTGTAGAGATCATCAGCAATGGCTGGAAATTCTGGGAAAGGGAATTAATGAACAATTGGAAAGGTTTTCAGGCTGTAGGATGCTGAAATATATTCGTAGTCATAGCAGGAGGAAGAGGGAGCCTAAGAAGGGGAAGAATATAAGGTGTAGCAAACAACTGATCGAGGTAAACAAGGCAAAGCTCCTTGATTAGGGAAAGTAGGGATGCTTTTCATACAAAATCTACATTCAGAATTGTCCTTTCTGACAAACTGACTAGGGAGACTGCCTTCTTGCAGAAACGTGTGTGTATGTGTGTGTAATATATACATTTATGTGTAGAAATACACAAATCTGAGAAATACAATGAGAAACAACTTTGAATGTATTCAATTACAGTGGTAATTTATTATTTTTTTAAAAGTCTAAGTAGGCTATGAAATACTTTGATGGACTGTAAAAAACTAAACTAAAATCAACCTACAATAAAAATTGTTGATTCAGTCCTTGCCTTTTTCACTCCCATGGCTTTTCTGCTCTGCTTGTGGTAATGAGCCCTCAGTATTGGGGGTGCTCACCTGCCCCACAGTCGCTGAGAGGTGAGTGCTGAAGCTTTAGGGTGGGAACTCCTGATTGTTGGCCATTTGGCAACTGATCCTGCTTCCTCCTGCTCCAGGAGAGGCAGCAGAAGTGAATAATGGCTGATGCATGCTCAGTGCCTTGTAGAGGGAGTGGTGGGGTCTGGTTCTGCCCTTTTCTGTCTCTCCAGAGAATGTAATTAAGCATCTTCTCACTGTTTGGAACTGGGGTTGAGTGAACTGTCAGCAGCTGTTGGTATGGACAGGTATCTTTGACTTTGGTTTTTACTCCTCCACGAAATCCTTCAGCATAATAGAAAAATTACTTCAATTAGACAGTTAATGTCAGGTCCTTCAACATAAGGTTGAAATCTATAGATATATGTTTGTAGAACTTTCCTTTTGGTCACCCTACGCCTTCCTTATGCCCCTGTATTCCAATTTGGCAGGTAGTAGCAGATGGAGAGTGAAGAAGGATATCTTGTTTCCAGAAACTTGGTATGCACCAAGGGAAGAAAGGGATTTGTGAGTTGTACGGGTTCCAAGTCTCATTAATTGTCATAACTACAGCATTAGATAGCATGAGGGAAGATGTAATTCAGATACTTCTGGTGAAACTTTAGCATTGTAGGTGTGTTTTCTAGTATTTTTAATTTTTTCATCATCTTATTACCATTTTATTATCTTTTACCTTTGATAAAAATCTGTAAGTTATCTTATGTGACTTGTTGGTTTGAAAACCACATCATACAATAAGGCATATATAGCTTTTTATCTGCTCTGTAATAATTTGTGAAAATTGTGCTTGCTCATCTCTGTGCCTCACCATTCATACAGCATTCCTCCTGCATGAGTAGTGGATTTCTGTGCCAGGGCACTGCTGGAGCAGGGGGAAAGCATGGAAAAAGAAGGGCTTAACATAAGCCGTTTCTCAGCAATAACTGAGAGTTTGTGTTTCCTGTCTACACCACAAGTTGCTAAGTGTTAAAATGAAAGAGTCTCGAAAAGACTTGTTCTTTGAAGCGCTGCTGAACTTGTGAAGCAACGGACTTGTGCAAGGTGAGGGAAAAGGCTGCTGTGCTGTGCATGCAAAGTGAAGGCAGGAGGTGTCATTTCTCATGGTGCACACTTCTAGAGAGCAGCAAAAGGAACTTCTGCCTGCATTTCTGATGTCTGTGTCCAGAAATGGCTCTGGATGGTTTTTACTGTGCATGTACCTTCTCAAGTCAAACCACTGTTCCTTCTACCATTAATTGCCCGGTCTGACAACATCATGTTGTCCTTGACTATTTCATGATATCTATTGCAGTGATTCAAAACACAGCCCATAAAGGAAGTTCCTGTTTCATTATGGGAACAATGTGGTCAGCAGCCTGTCAGGCTTCCGGACAGGCCCAGGTTTCTCAGGAGTCTTAGGAAATGGTAAACAAGTGTGGATTTGTCATGTGTATTACTTGATCAACCGCAAAAAAAAAGCTCCAAAATTCTGAGCTTTAGTCTCAGGATCTTGTGTGTCATCTTATGCATAATGTGAAAATACTCCACATGAATAACTACTAGTAATTTATTTTATGGGGTTCTTAATTGTGAGTTTGATATTGTGATACTACTTTCCTGTTTTCCCTCTATTTCTCCCTAGGTGTTAATTTTTAATATGTTGACTATACTTAATCAGAAATGAAAACACTTATATTGTAAAATAAAATATTTATTTAGAGGAGGGAAATACAAGAATTAATGGAAGCACTCAACAAGTCGTCAGATGATGTCCTGCAAAAGGACATCAAAAGCTGCTGCTGAGAAAGACACTTATAAAAGTCTAGTTTCATGTGACTGACACATTGCTGTTAATTGGAAACATGAACACAGACACCAGTTTGAAAATGTATCAAGACAAAGTACCTTCTGTAAAATGCTTTCTAAAAAGGGTTTATGAGGTCAGATGGCTATTGGGTTAGAGCAGTAAAGTGGTTTTTGAGATGAAGTGTCAATTTGCTGCTTTCTGTGGTATCACAAGCTCACAAATTCCCATAATCTGTTCCTTAGGGTGTATTTCCTCTCCCTTTTTGAGGACAGAAGCTTTGGACTTGGTTGAGTTACTAGCAGAAAACCATTCAACTAGACAGTTTCCAAAAGTCACAAGTGCTTATTTAATACCAAGCTGTCTCGATTTAGACTGGCATGTGGGTCTTACTGTCTCTGGCTTTGAACACAGAACTTTACTAGTCTCAGTAGTGTAAGGGACCTCTGCTATAATTTTGCAGAAGACAGCACTAACTGTCCTTCCTGCAATTGCTCCTGAACTTCCATAAGTGGAAGGTAGTCTGTTCTCTGTGTGTGTAATAAACTGCTGGTGCAATAAGGAATACAAGCATTAGGGTGCAAATACTGGGGAAAAAAAATGAAGGCTCCTATCTGATCTGCATCTGGTAACTTGAAATATTTTGTGTTACAAAGACTAGATGTTGGTGTCACTCTGATCTGACACCTGTGTAAACCTTAAGTTATTTGCATTGATAAAGCTGATTTTGGATACAGTGAATAAGAACAGAATTTGAACACTGCATGAGGAAGAAATTAAAAAGCTGCATTACTACAAACAAAGTTTTTGTGAGCTTAGCATCCTTATCTTTTGCAGCATTCATAGGTAAAGCACTCTTCCTTCACGATAAATTAATAAACCACAAAAACCAGGTTTAAACTTGATTTATTGAAAATCTCAGTTTTGCATAATTATTCAACATCTGCAATTCTTAAAACATTTAGTTCTGAACAAAAAGTCCATTAAGAAAAAAAATGTAGATTTATATTCTCCTTTGTAAATTTTATACAATCAAAAGCAATGTACTCTTCAGAACCCACATGAAATGTTTCTTAACTGCAAGTTTACGTGCCAAATCCTTCACCTATGATACACCTATTCCAGCTGCCAAAGTCAATGCACAGTTACCTTTCTAATTATTAACTCTTTCATTTTCTATAGTTGAATTTGAATGAGGAGAAAATAGTCAGAACTCTCAGCTGCAAAACAAGAATTTCTTCCAGATGAACTCTGCTGGCACTTGCTGCATTATTTTCCTTCTACCAGAGATCTTTGCAATGGGAGAAACTGAACTGCAGCAGTCCTGTGTCTGATCAGAGCAGTCTGCACTCGTTAGCAGGTTAAAGTACCACACCAAACTGTTTCAGAGAGGCACAGCAGAGCAGCTGGGGGACCTAATCTCTTAAGGTGCCCTTGGAAAACTTGGCAGAAGCTTATCTCTTGGAATTTGAAGCTGAAATCTGTATCTAGTAGCTTTGATAGAAGAGGTAGATGTCTCAGCTGCAGCTTCCCAGAGCTGGTTCAGCATTTTGCAGATGGTTTGTAGCATCACAGTCCTGGTGACGCAAGCCAAGGTAACTCCATGGTATATTGGTAGTGGGAGAGGGACAGGGAAATGGCAGGAAAACATTATTTGCCACTCTAACTGAAAGAATAATTTTTTTCCTAGCCTTTGTCCTGATCACAGAAGTAAGCTTTAAGCTTTCTAATTCCAGTTTAGAATACAAAGCATCGTATGGAAATAAGATATGCAAAACCCTAAAGGGGTACAGTCTTATTTTGGACAGAGCTTTGCAGAAAGACGAAGTAGCCTTTGGAGCCCTCTGTAAGTTCTGTAATAATACTTTTGCTTATAAAAACTACTTAGAAATATTATTGCTAGGTCCTGTTGTCTGCAGTAGAAACTGAAGTGCTGTTTCTGTGTTCTGTAGCCCTTGCTAGCATCTGCTTCGCTGGAACAAAATGTTTCTTCATGCACCTATTGACCCTGTTTTATCTCCAGAAAATAATTCTAAATCACAGAAAGACCCAAAGTTGCAATTCTGCCATTCATGCCTAGATGGCCCCACAACAGGCACACCACTACTACATACACTTTTTTTAAAACACCTTTTAAAAAAGTGTTTTTAAGAAAGTTTTTTAAAAACCTGTGATAAAATGTAGTTAACACATTTATACAAGAAATGTCAATGACTTGGCACACTGTAAAAATTACTAATTTGGATATATTAAAAAAAGTTAATTCTCATGCACCATGGGGTTTTGGCAAAAATTCTGTAGCCTCACTACAGTGTCAAAAGCCGCTTCATCCAGAAATTACAAATTCCTGATTTGATATTAGCTTTGCCTTAGGTAAGTGATACTGCGTATTCAGTTGATCATACAAGTTGAAGCCTGTACTTGCTGCTCCTGTAATTCATGCCTTTTTCATATGAACAGCTGGATACAGAAACAGAGTGTACTTACACAGCTGAAAGACTTGTGAGGGTGAGCAAAAAGGGAAAGTTCTGGTGAACAGCTTTGGTTTTATAGGCCTATGTAAGTCACCCTATTAACTGTTACATTAGTCACAGCTGTAGTAGACAGGAACAAATAGAAACAAATTGGCAAATAAGAGGCATTTTGAGGCTATGAAAATCAGTCTTTATGTGATGTTTTGGCATACCACGACCTCTGCCTTTATTAAAAGGAAAAACATGAGAAATTACTTTTTTTAAAGTTATCTGTAACACAAATTTACAGTAATGAAGAATTTGCAAACCATACTTCAAAGTGTGTGTGTATTTGTATAGCACGTAGACACCTGTCTTGTGTAACAGCCAAAAAGGAAAAAAAGGTTGTGCAACTACAGGACAGAAAGATTTATGAACAGGAATTGTACCTATTTTCTCCAATTCTTTTCAACACTGACCCAATTTCACATTGATGGTGCTTTTTTAAAGTGCTGATATTAGTAATTTGTATATAGAAAGTTTTCATGTTCTTACAATGTTAGCCCAATGTTTCTCCATGATGCCATAGAACAAAAGATGAGTATTTTTGAAACACATAATTTTGAAGATAAATGACAGTAATTACAAACTATCCCTGTGGGCCCCAATCCTGTAAACACTTAGGCACATAGGTAAATTCACTCAGTATTTAACAGCAAATAAACCAATGTCTAAGTTACTACTTAAAAGTTTTATGTGAAAACGAAAAAAATGACAGTATTAACATTACTTTGCAAATGCACCAGGTGTGCTATGCATAAGGTAGTCATTAACAGTCATTGACAAATTATACAAGTACAAAAAATATTGTTAGTAGCATTTGGAAAATGGGAGAGCGTGGGGTGAGGCATTACGTTCATGTTTAAAAAAAAACCACCCACCCACCACATAAACCTACAGCAACCCCCCAAACACAAACAAGACCACCACCATCACAACCAAATAGCCCAAGATGAATTGAAAACCTGATTTTTACTGTTTGTTCAAAAGAATCTGAAAGGGGTCTTTTTTTTTTTTTTAACTGTAGTTTATTGCTCCCCCTCTCCTCCATACCTGTTAATATTGGTATGATCAATACTGAATATTAAGTTCTACTTTTCCTCTTATCTTCAAAAAGACTTTTCAACATGTAAACCTGAACGGCCGACACCACCACCATGACTGCCAGGTTGACCATGGACCAGAAGTTGACTCGGTCAAAGTTGCTCTCTTGTATGTTGCGGTCACGGGCCTCGAACGCTCGGAGCAGGGTCTGAATCTGGACACTTTTGCTTAATCTGGCTTTGACACTGTTGATGGATTCCTGGTAAGTAATAAAGGAGTATTTTTAGAATCAAAACCAACACCTGAATCAAATGTATACCTTGCAGCACAAGCAAAAATGTTAATTACCGCACATAATTTCATTTCTTGGCCAGTATATCACCTAAAAAGCCTTAATTATCAAAGCTTTAAGGTTTTGTAGTAATTTGTTTTTTCCCTTTTATAGGTTAGGGAGGTGAGAGAGAAATCTATTTGGACAAGTAAAAAGCAGTGAATTCTTCAGAACTAATCTCAAAACAAGTTACATAGTGGCAGACAAACTTTTTTTTTTTCTGCTGAATAATCAAATTAAGCTGCTTTTTAATGCAAACTGTTCTCAGGGCTGTGTTGCTAAAGGAAAGGACAATAATGTTATATTCCTGTCTGCTTCTGGTGCTTCCACTGTAGTGGCTATAAACTGCTGCTTCAGCTTTGATGCAAAACCAGAATTTTGACAATAAATCGTGAATAGCACAACTGGAGGTCCTGCAAAGGCCAGACAGTTGTCCCTGGGAACACGAGGAAGCACAGGAACACTCGGGCCACAACGACAGCAGCAAGAGCTGCGCCTTACTCTGCACTCACAAAGTAAACACCTGGGTCTAAGGTCTGTTGAAGTTTCATCCACCCTATAATAGGTAATAACACCATAAAAGCTGATCTCATCAAGTGCTGATTTGTGTTCTTCATATAATTTTGGGAACCTGAAGTAACTTCTAATGAGAAGAGTAATGTGTTCAGTAACAAGAGGCTGTAAATTAAGAAAACCCCACAAGGTTAAATCCAACAGTAACATTTTCTCCATGGACGTTTTCTATGTTGCATGGTTAATAAAAATATTTCAAAATAGCTAATTTGGGAAGCCAGATAGTTTTACGATGATAAAGTTCACTGTTACACAATAAGGAACATCAACACCATAAAAAAGCTTTAAAAATAAGAAACAATTCCCTGTTTTCCCCAGAAAATGTGTGATTGTTAAAAAGTTAAACTACTAAGTGTTTTTGTAAATCCTCAGAGACCTTGCAAGGAAAGTAATATCTTGACTAAGTAAACAATGGCATCAAATACTAATGTGAACTTTACAAAAATTACCTACTTTTATAAGATTTTCAAGGCTCTCAAAGACAAGCTCTGTATTTATTTTTCTTTTGGAAGAGATACCAGTATGTAAACAAGTATCTGTCAAATCCATTCAAGTATTGTGATTAAAGTGTGAGAGAGATTTTCCTTACAACTTCCCCTATTAACTTTGGTTTTTTCTAATTGTCTTGACTGCCAGTTTTAATGATATAGCCAGCTCTTCAGATTCAGTATTTAGTTTTATTACTATTTAAAAGTGCATCATACACCTATAAAAGATTTTAAACATTGTTTTGTTTTGTTATTTAAAAATCTGCATTTTGTCTGTGGCAATAAATAACACAAACGATGCGATTTTCTGCTTAGTGTACTCAGTGTGTGTGGATGTTGGTTTGGTTTTTTGGATTTTTTTTTTTTTTTTTAAAGATACCAGTTGTATCCATGATCAAACAAACAATAGCTCACTGCATCCTACCAAGCACTAAGAACAGTGGAACACCGAACAATCCTTGGCTTCTGGAGTAATCATTATGATTTAATGATCATAAAGGGAATAAAAGCTTTGACTCAGCAGGACTCTGACTCTTACACCAAATAGGCTCAGCATCCAGTTTAAGGAAACATAATCATTCAGAGAATCTCTGCAAAGGTGAACCTGTGGTAAGACTCAAATTAACTCCCATTCATTAGTTTGAAAAGATGGAATAAAATTTGGAGGCAAAAGAACTAATAGAGTAATATCTAAGTTATTGAAGATAGAAATATTAATCCATACTACTTTATTTTCAAGCACTGATAAAAATCTATGCAGTGGTTCCAGCTACATCATTGGGATTAAGTAATACTTTAATGCTATAAATATTAATTTCATTGCTGCTAGGGAAAAATGTCCCATTTTAGCAGTAGGAAGAAAGGAAGTTGAATTGGAAATAGAGCGACTTGGAGATATAGGCAGTTTCTTCTTGCTGATGAAGGGCCTATTCTGAAAATATTTTCAACTTTGTGTTTGTAAGCAAGGGACCCACGGTGCTGAGCTTCCTGCATTAGTAACTGGAATAGTTTCCAGGATGACGCACCAGACCAAGCCAGAATGGCTTACATGACACTTGAGTTTTTTTCCCAAATGCTCTTACGTGGAAAAGAATTAAAGATCAATACTAACCAGAATATCCTCCAATTTCATATCCAGGAGATCTGTGCCTGTAACGTATTTCTTCCAGTCTTCCTGATCTTGTCCATCTTCTCCCATATTGTCCAGAATCAGTTCAAAGAAAATTACCTTTTCAGAAATGGTACTGAATGTGTTGTCAAAGCAGAACATGTAATCCCCATCTTCTGTTTCCACCCTGTGTATATAAGCAAAATGTGATTAAATTAACTATACTCTCTGTTCTGATTGTCAAAAAGTGAGTTTTTGTAAGCAAAGTTTCCCCTTTAAGACTGACAATTGTGTACTTCAAAATAACCAAATATGCTTTTTGTATAAAAATAAGAACTCTAAAGATACCTTACAGATTGCAGTCACAGCAAAACAATCCCACTGGCTCTAAAGGCTCAAAATGATGAAAACAGCATTTTTCTTTTTGGGGATTTTGAATTACTGTTAATCACTACAAAAACCCTATAATGAACCTATAGTAAAATTAAAACAATTATTACATATTTTGATAAAAGGACTGGAGAAATAGGGGATATCAGCTTCTTATTTATATGACTGACAAGGTCTTTTGGTATTAGATGTGGAGACCTTTTTCAACTCCACAGTAATTATTTTTGTTCACTGACCCTTAACAGCTACCATTAAAACAAAAATATGCTTTGCTTCATGGTACAATCCATGTAAAAAGCATTCAGTGTTTATAAAAAGAAAGTTTGTATTCTCAAACTGTCCTTTTAGAAAGTCTTTTGTAATACTAAGGAATAAAAAGTACTCAACCTTTATTTTAGTTATATTTGTTAAAGAAACCAGAAAAGTACTTCCTATGCAGCCCTTCTGAGTTTGAGTATTTTAAACTTACGTATGAACTCCATCTGATTTTCTTTCATCAAAAACTAGAGTTTCACCTTTTGGGGACAGCAGATGAAAATCAACATCTAATCCTGCTCCATCCAGAACCTGTGAAACAAACAAAAAATGAAGCTCCAAGCGGTGGAATTCCTGTTTGCATTGCTGATGGCAACATTTTTAGAGAGGGCAAATGTTTTTAGGTAAGAGAACTGACACATAAAGAATCTGAAAGACTTATCTGTCTGGATGAGTTCACACCAAGTTAACTGGAAACACATTAAAAACTGGTTCAACCCAAAAGCATTTTAGCAGTTTCAAAATCTTAAATATGATCCAATTTGCTAGGCTGGGCTTATATTGAACCTTTCCTTAAGTATTTTTAAGAATGTATACAGTTTTATCAGTGGGCAACCTGTAAAAATACCAACAACAGATGCCTAAATTTGGCCTTTCTGTGGCAGACGTCACTGATTGGTAAATACCAGCACTAGTTCAGTGGCAGAAATTTGATAATAAAAGTCACTGGTATGTACGTACACATACAGATTTGTACAAGAACACTATGCACTGTCATCCCCCAGATCTCTTTGTTGGGTGAATTAACAGTGTAGAAGAGAGGACCAGACTTCTTATGCCAATCAAAGGTGTATCACAGACCTTCTCACTTTCTGATGCAGATTTAAGGTCTGAACTCTGCCAGGGTATTCTTTTTTTCCCCAAGGTAGAAGGAATTGAAGGCATTGAGCTTCCTAAGCTCCTAAGAAGCGTGTACAGTATTACAAGGCTGTGCTGCTTTAACTGTATAACCTGGCTACAGTTTTATCACCACATCTGGTGTGTTGTAGAAATTCTCTTAACTGCATAAGGGGGCAGACAGGGATCATTTTTATGACATTACTTAGGTCCATGCTAGGGGATTTTTTTGTTTGCTTGTTTTCCAGTGAGCTTTCTGAGCGTAGCAGTCTGCTCCTGCTCAAATGGAGGGCGAAGTTTACAGTGACTCAAAGGGACACTGGAGACTTACCAGAAAAAAAAAGACGAAGAGCAAGGGAAATAAGTAGCTAAGAGATGAAAAGCCAGACACAGGGACATACCTTTAGGGCTTTGATCCACTCGAAACACCCAGAAAAACAACTTTTTATGAACATAGTGTTCATTGCGTTTTGTCTTAGGAGAATTACCTGCATGCTATGTTAAATATTCCTCTGCTTTAGCCACTAACATAATAAAGTACAAAATAAATCAGTTTCCAATAACATACAGAGCTCTTTTCTACCACTGATATAGAAAGATGAATCATTACTGTTAGCAGTAGTGCTAAGACATTTATGCCCGAGTAGAAAGAAATTCAGTGTTATACTCATTTGTTCTAAAATCCAACTCAGTGCAAAATAAACTTCTGTTTTGCTTAAACAGGGCAAAGCTTGAAAACATCGGTCTTTCATTCTTTCTCAGTTCTGCATGTAACAATATTAGAAATTAATCAGGAATTTCAGCTTTGTACTTTCAGTTGGGAAACAGAGGGGGTAAAAAGGGATGGGGGGAAAGAGATCCGGGCACAGTAGCAGGGTGGGAAAGTATTCACTGCAGCTTCCCTCACTGTACCTATTCTACTGGAAAAAAGTCTTTGTTTTATGGACGGGAAAAAAGGCTTGAGACTGAAATCTTTCCCAGACATATTTGGGAGACTTAGCTTTTCCCAAGAAGGACATCAAGACCTTAATTTCAATCTGGTTAAACAGGGCTGTTTTTGTGAAACTTTCATCACTGAGATGAAGGGTGTTTATTATCAGCACAAAGACAAGCAAGTAGGGGCTCTGCATCAGCACAACGTTCCTCGCTCTTTAAAGGTCACACCCGTGAACTTCCTACGTTCTGCCGTTTTAAAGGACGGCGACTTGAGATCTTGGAAAGTGTTTAAAAAAACATCTGCTAGTATAACTACAAAAGGCCGTTAGAGCAATTTTCTCCCCCCAAGGCAGAGCTTTTAACAGTGCACGGTTCCAGCGTGGCTGTGCGGGCGCTGGCGGGGCTCCCCGCCCGGGTCTGGGCGCTGCTCGGGGCAGGGCACGGCCCCCGATCCCGCAGCAGCGCCGCGGCCCCGGAGGACGGGACGGAGCGCCGGAGCGGGGCCGGGCCGAGCCGCTGCACAGGGGCACCGGCAGCGGCGCGGACACGGCGGGATGCGGGACCCCCGCTCCCCTCTCGGGACACCCCTGGGACACGCCCGCCCTCCCGGGCGGCCCCTCCCGTCCTCGCCCCCGACCTGGTACTCGAGCTCCAGCGAGGCGTCCCTGCGCATGGGCTGGTAGAAGCACTCCTTGCGGCCGGCGGGCAGCGTGAAGGTGAAGTCGCTGTCGAGGGAGGGGCTGAACTCGGCGGCGCGGGGCGGCAGCAGCAGCGCCAGCCACCCGAGCGGCAGCAGCAGCACCCGCGGCGCCATCGCCACAGCCACGGCTACCGCTCCGGCCCCGCGCGCACACCGCGGGCGGGGCCGCCCCGCCCCTCCCCTCTGCACCAATCGCAGCCCGCCCACAGTGCACCGCGGCGGCGCGCGCTGGCCCCGCCCACAGCGCTCCCAGGGCGGCGGGGCCGCGCGTGCGCCGTGAGGAACCCGCGCGGTTCGAGCGCGGCCGGGGCGGCCCCGGCGCGGCTGAGCCGGGAGCGGGGCGGGGCTTGGCACACACCGGCACCGATACCGGCACCGATACCGATACCGACCTGCTCGGGGCCGCGGGCCGGTCCCTCCCCACCGCCCCCCTCCGCCAGCCCGGCCCCGCAGCGCTCTCCGCCCGGCGCTGCTCCCCCCGCGTCGCCCGGCGCGGCCCGTCCGCCCGAGGAGGACACTTCGCTTTGCTTTGTCGCTTCGCTGGTCACGGGCAGCGAGGCAAGTTTTGGGCATTGGCGTGTGCGCTGCTCCCGTGCCGGACTCCCCGGGAGCTCCGAGGTCACCGCGATGTGCTGTGTGAGGGAGTTTTGGCAACTCATGTATAGCGGGCTTTTCCCGTTCTGCTACATGGCAAGTCGCGAAGCTTTTTGTGCTTCACGAACGCGTACAGAACTCCTTTTCTCAAAAGAGGCAATTTGTACAGTTATTTTTATCTAGTGAACGTGGGAAGAGATAGTGTGTGAAATGTACATTTGTAAATTTGTGTTTTCTCTTGTCTTAGAAAGAAAAAAGGTTTTTTTTTTTTGTATTTTTGTCTCCTCTCCACCTTCTTTTGTTATCTTTAAAAGTATCTTTGCAAATAGTCTTCACGTATGTTTAACAGTGTTTTAATATTAAATATTATTTTAGCTGTATGTGTGATACCAATGGAATGTACTATGTGGACTTGCTCTAAAAGTGGTGCTGATGAAGACCTGTTTGCAAACGTTCAGTCATTACAGAATCAGCTGAGGAGAACTGAAAAAAACCTACGAACAGTAGAGAAAGAGCTTTCCAGGTATGAGTGTGTTTGGGAATGAGAACTGCCTGTCTTTCATAGTGAATCTGTCTTGTTTAGTGTACTGAATTACTGCAGTTAGCTCTTTTTGTGCTTTCCGTTTGAACAGTCTTGAATAAACAACCCTAATAAGCAACTTAATAACGAAAAACTGGAGTAGTAACTTTATACTCTCCCTTCTACACTAGTACAAAGGAACATTACGGCCACTGCTTTGCTGAGGCGACAGACTTTGCTCTGGAGGATTTTGTACAGCCTAATTACAACAATCAGGGCTTTTCCAACTCCAAGAATTCTGGTAAAACATCTCACCGAGATTTTCAAAGAAAACCCAAAGTAAATATTGCTCTTTATTACTTATTATTATTGCTTTGATTTTCTAATCTTTGCTATGTTTTTGGATGTTTTTTGGTTGGTAGGGCTTGGAGCGGATACACTGTAGCATTGGACAGTGATATCAGTTGAGCACTCTTCAACGTAATATCATTTCAATATGGTTTTTCTGCTAAGTTTCCATTATGGCCTTTCACTGCTTGAAGGAGAGTTATGAGAAAGATGAGGTCAAAGTTTTTAGCAAGGCCTGTTCCAGTAGGACAAGGGGTAATGGTTTTAAACTGAAAGGGGGTCAGTTTAGATTGGTTGTAAGTTTTTTACTGTGAGGGTGGTAAAACACTGGCACAGGTTGCCCCATCCCTGGAAACATTCAAGGTCAGGTTGGACGGGGCTCTAAGCAAGCTGATCCAGTTGAAGTTGGCCCTGATCATTGCAAGGTGGTTGTACTAGATGTCCTTTAATGGTCTCTTTCAACCCAAACTATTTATGATTTTATGATGTATATATTGCTTATGTATCCATATATAAGTGTGTGTGTGTGTATAAAACCATATTTTTCTGTCTAGTCTTACTCAGTATCCACAACTGTGGATAAAACTGTGGAAGAATATGAAAGTCTTCAGGAAAAGCTGGATGCCCTTCAAGAGCAAAATGCATCTTTGACTTCTCAGAACCACTACCTAAAGAACAGGGTGGAAACAATGAACTTTGAATTGATGCAGTCAAAAACAAAAGTATGTATCTTTATCATATTCATCAAAAAGAAAAACAAACCCCAACCCCCCCAAACATCCCAGTGACCGTGACTTTGGAGTTTATAATTCCAAGCAGAATATTCTGTTTTTTTGTCTTGTCTTAGTCTAAGTTTAATATTTAGTATGTATTTAATAATCAGTGTTAATCTTGAACAGAGTGTTTTGGAATCTATTTCTCCATTGGCAAAACAACTGTATTAATTATGAGTTCTAACTATTCATGTTCCAAAGTTTAGTCTAAAGCCAGTAAGCCACAGAATGAAAAATACATTATGAAAGAAAACAGTTCAGTGTAGGTATTTAGTACTGTACATTCACGTGTCTGAGCTACTTTGAGATTAATGTGAATAATAATGGCACAGTAGTCATTTGTCTAGGAAATGAAGAGTTGATCTCATTAATCCAGATTAATATATTAATAAGTGAAGATGGGTTAGAAGGAAATACTGTGTCTAGTAAATCATTACTGATTTAGTATACGCTTGTTTGTACAGGTTTGTTTCATGACAGCTATATTCTTATATTTGGTTTGTATGTGACGTTAATAAAACATAGCTTAGTGCAAAGGCATGCTTAGTGCTTTTTGCTTGAGAAATGTTATCTCCAAGACAGTACAAATAAATAGATAAACAAAACATTTGACTGCCTGTCACTGAAAGAAGAAATAGTTGAATATAAACTTTTTGGGAAAAGCAAGAGACAGGACATATAAAGAAATCCCGGGTATCACACTGGAACTGGAGGGATGTTAAATGAGCAGAAAATTGGAGGTCAGTTGGTGTAGATGAACAAAGGTAATTTACAGTAGGGTTAAGAGCACTGTCATTCAGTAAGCAGATTGTTCTTATGTGTCCCACCTGAAGATATATAATAACTCTTAATGCAACCCCAATTGTGTTTGTGTTTCAGATTTCGTATCTCGAGTCCACTTTAGGTACACATTTAGTCGACGTTCCGAAGTTGAAAGAACAGATTTTAAACCTGGAAGCAGAAGTTTCAGCTCAAAATAAAATTCTGAAGTAATAAGTGTACTTTTAAATCAGTGTTTTATTGTTGTCTGCTTGCTGGTCCAATCTCTTTTTTGGGATGACATAATTACTGGTACTGTGTGAGTCATGTAATCTGGGTCTGAAACTTTCACTTCAGAGCCAAAAATAGGAGGAGGGAGGTGATCTATTCTGTGCTGAATGTACTTCAAGAAATTGAGAAAAAATGATAAAGGTTGATGAAGAAACCAGTTTATAATGTGTGCTAAGCACAGATATGCCCTGATAATTGGATAGAGGGATTGTGTGCTACATGACTGCATATATTCTGCTGTAACAAGCATACATGTTTCAAACATGATGGTGCATTTTGTGATACAAGGGGTCAGCCACCAGGGTCCTTGGCACTTGTGACACCTGAAGCTTGTTGATGAAGTTTGGACACCACTGCAGACTGCAGACAGACTGCTGGGGAGTCTGGAGACTGCAGGTGTTCCAAGCCTGGTGTACAGAGTTGCAGCATGTTTGACTAGTGCTCCTCAAACATCATATGCAGAAAAGAACGACAGAAATCTATTTTCTTTACAAGAAAAGTTCTTGGTTTTTAATTATGCTTTGTTTATTTGCCAGAGATGCAGAAGATAGACTAGATCAGAACCAGAAAACAGCAATGGAAAGAGAAAACATGTTACAAAGATATCAAAAGGGCTATAAAAGTCTGAAAATGGAGTTAATTGAACGGAGCAAGCAAGGAAAGAGGTACTAAGTCATTTTAATAAATGGAATACAGAATAATAAGTGTGGAAGTGCTTATTTCCATTGATAGTTAGTTATTTTGTGGAATCAAATTACTTTTCTGCTTTAGGGATGGTATTTTTTAAAAGAGGCGAAATCCTTTGTGAAGGTACTGATTATTTAAACATTAGTTGGTAATTGCAGACTGATACTGTACACTAGTAACCAGCTTATCAGCTGCTTTTTTCCCTTCAGGACAGATGCACTGTGGTGGAGAGCTGAAAAGTCTCCAGAATATATTATTCCTGAATTATTTTGGTCTTTGTCTTGCAAGAACCTACAATCTGTGCTCAGTATTCAGCAGTACCGAGTGCTGTATTTTTGGGGTTGGTGCAAGGAAAGTGATAAAAGCACAACTTAATCAAGAGAACATTTTTGTTATCCCTAATCTTACCTGTCTACATGATACTGTTCAAAAGGGTTCTGTAATTCCATCTCCATCCCTATTTTCCTTTCCTATTGCCTCTTTTAGCCCAGTGGCTCTGTGGCTACTGGGAGGGTTAGCTAATTTCTTTTGATTGTTAGAAGTTACCATGTACAGTCCTATCGCTTCCAAAATGTCATTTTAAAAAAGTGAGAGGAATAATAAAAAGATTCCTATCTGCCCTATTCATTTAACTTCATTACCTGGGGCAAAAATTAACTGGTTACTTGGGGAAGCATTTCTTGAACCTTTTGAATGCAAACTCTTTGTTTGGTTTGTGTATCTACCCATAAAATTACCTCTAACCTTCTTATAGCAAGACAAATGGAAATACTGTGGGGCTTGCACTGCTGGTTGAAGAAATGTGTTGCTTTATGACCACCATTCAGAGCAGGTGGGGTTGGAACTACCTGTACCTAGTTACTAGTTGCAAATGTAAATATTTTGGTGCTTCAGAAAAGCTGAGCTTCTGCCAGGTGTTAAAGGCAAGTGTTACAGCTAGTGTTAGCAGTTATTACGGTTTCCTTTTAATCATTGATTGCCACAACTTACTATTCTTTGGCCAGGGAAAATGAAGTGCTTTAGACTGACACTGTTTTGTTATTCTGAAGTCCTTTTATCCCCTTCTCTGAATACTTGTGCCATCTCCGATGGGTGGTGGTCCTCAGACGGAGAAACCCCGCTGTGAGGGTTGGCTGTACTTGGGGGAGGCAGTGCCCCATGCCCACAGCTCCCTTAGTGGAAGAGAGAAATGTTCTTGAGCAGCAGTAATTCTCTGTGTGCCTGTGTTGGGTGTCCTGAACAGACTGCACACCTGAGGGTACTGCTCCAATTTCTTCCCTAGTGAGTATGGATAGTGATTAAAGGAAAGAGTAGGGGGTTGTTCCTTTGAGCAGTTCCTCACACGGTATCTGCGCCTTGGAAAGTTGGAAGAAGAAAGGAAGTACCTGGAGCAATTACTTTAGTAATTGGTTTTAGGAACTGGAGGAGGTGGTTATGTAATGGCTGGAATTTGTGGTTTTTGAAATTGGTTTGCTTCTTTTTCTTTGCAGAACAGAACAGCAAAGAAATGAAGCTTTGTTGAATGTGGAGGAGCTGACAAGAGCTTTCAAAAAGTATAAAGCAGAAATAAATGAAAAATTAGAAAAGGTGAGAGTTTTTTCTTCACTAGTTTTTGCCATGCTATTAAGATTTTTCTTCTTCCAGTAAACTAGGCAGCTAACAGCAACAGGTTCACCAGTGAGTCAATTGTTTCTGCTTGTGGGTGGCAAAGTCCTAAGAGAGATGGGATAGGGTAAGCAATTATTTGTGGTGATAAATTCAGTTATACAGTTTTCCACTGTCTTTGCACAGTCTGGACAATCTGCATCTTTAGAGTATCCTAATACTACTGTTGTTTCTTCTGTCCCCATCTTGCCTGCTGGGAATTTTACATTTTAAATATATAAGATCCTTTCAAAAGAACTCTTTTACTCCATTTAACCTGTTCAATGAAACATGAGCTAGAGGAGAGCTAAGATGAAGATGAAATCATCTCCCAGAGTTCCAGTGATCAGATTGTTAATGCTTCCTACCTTGTGGGAGGAGAAAATACAGGTCTGAGACAGTTACCTCTGATTGAGAATTTTTTTTTATTGGACTTCTTTCCACATGGAAGGACATTGCCCAACCACAAATATGCCCTAAAATATTAAAGTAATTTTTTCCCAGGTGACAGAAGAGGAAAACTTCTTTGTCCCTTTTCTTCACAACAGTGAGCAACACAATTATCTACAGGCTTAACAGAAAGAAAAAAAAAGACCATAGTATTTATAGTATTCTTTTAAAAATAGCCAGTTGGTCATGGAAGCTTAGTTTATTGTTGTAAAGTAATGAAAAAAATTGTTTTTTAAGGTTAAAGCTGAAGAATTAGTCTTGGGAAAACGTTTAATTAATTGTGAAAAGGAAAAAGAGAAGTTGAATGAAAAGTGCATCAGCTACAGAAAGGATCTAAACATCCTAGAAGAGCAACTAAGGTAATGCAAAGGCTTTTAAAAATCTCTGTACAGTTTTTTGAGAAGGAATTACATGCTACAGTTGTCACTGTGAATGTGCTGCTCCATTCATATAATTCAAATCAATAATTTTTTTTTCTACATTATTTCCTATAACTAATCCTTAAATGTTTTGATCCCACATGCTGCCAAACATTCCCAGTAAGATTGCACCCCCTAAGCCTTCTGGGGACACTGGTTCCCTTGGTCTCTCACTGCTGCCTGTGCTCTGTGGGTGCTCTGGTCTCACGTGCTGCTGCCTGGCCCTGCTAACGCCCCTGCCCTGGTTGTTCCCTGGCTGGGGTGAAGGACACCCTTGGCATCCCGTGGGGAGGCTGCCCTCAGGCTGCAGTGGAGGTTGTGGTGCTGACTGCAGCTTCTGGAATGGTCAGACCTGCTTTTGATGCTCTCTGTCCCAACTCAAAGGTCCTTTCCCACTAAGGAGTTTTTATGCTCCTTGTATGTCGTTTCAGCCGTCCTTTGTAATTCCCTCATTCCTTTAATGAGGGAAGGCAACCATCAGCTGCCTTTAGAGTTGTTAGGTTTGGACAAAGACCTGCACAGACATTTTGGGGTATTCTATTTACATGCATTGTCCACACTCGCATTCCTGTCTAAACCGTTGCTTTTTAGGCCATTTTGGCAAGAGTGTGAACACCTTTCCATGAGTTTTAGCCTACTTAATAAGTCTCTGCTTCTGAGGTTTTGGTTTCGTTTTTTTTTTTCTCTTTTCTGTTCTCTTTTCTTCTGCTCAGTCCCAGGTTTGGGACTCACCAGGGCCTTTGCTGAGCTAATTCAGTTTGGTAAACCAACAAGTACCTAAAAAACTAAATAATTTGAGATAAGCTCGAAATACAGTTGTCTCAGTGTACAAGAACATAGGGAGAAATGGGACCCCTCCCTCTCTTGTTATTAACAGAATGATAGAGTAGCTCAGTCTTAGTATCTTCATAATTTTGATTTTATGTATTGTTATATAGTTACTTTATCCTGTTCTTAAATTGCCCTGACTTCTGTGCTGTTAAAGCTGTTTGGTCCATTTCCTACCAGTGACTGTCCTGGCAATGCTCAAAACTTCACGAAGTTGCTTAAGAAAGAAAAGTTGTTGACTCTCTCCTTTTTTTTTGCTGATAACACTTTCCATCTTGCTCCCTAGGAACAGTGAAAGCTTAGTAAAGCAGCAAAAACTTTTCTGTCCTTTGTATAGAGCTAAGCCTAGATTTTGAGAGGCAGAAAACTAGTAAAACATTGCAGCTATGGTGTGTTCTGGTTCTTCTAATAATGAAAATTCTCTATGTTGAGCTATGCCTTTTAAATACCCTTTTAGGCAATTAAAGGAAGAGAATAATAGCACAAAGGAAGAAATTAAGACTCTAGAGGCAAAGAACACTGAAATGACATCAATGCTGAGTCAGTCTGATCAGAAGATCATCAAGCTCAAGAGTGAACTTTCTGAAAAAGAAATAGTGCTTAAAGAGCAAAATGCTCTACTAAGTGAGAATGCAGAGCTGAGAGCACTTATTGCACAGCAAAATAACCACTTGAAATTATGTCATCAAGAAATTGAGGATTCAAGGCAAGAGCTCAACATACTAGAAACCATTATTTCTCAGTTGTCTTCAAGCACATCTGAAGAGGTACAGTAACAAATACAGCCTAGAAGTGTATTATGTATTGAATAATTTTAAGAATCAAGTTATCCAGACTTTTAACATTCTGGCATATGTGTCTTAACATTTATATGCTGGTATAATACCTTAATTGATCATGCTGTGAAGAAATATAAAATTGATTTTTCACTGATCTTTTTTTCCCTTAACTTTTAGTTTAAATGGCACCATTTCAAACACCAGCTTTTGAGTTCCTCAACGAAAGAAGTTATCTCTGAGTCTTGTGAATCAAGTAAACCTTTGATTGCAGACCTAAGGTATAACTTTCTGATTACTGAATTATGGCAAGAATAGGCAGATAATAAGGTGGTATTAGAATCAGCACGTAGAAAGAATGTTAAATAGTTGTCTCCTCCTTTATAATAGCATTAAACTGTCAATGAAAGAAGCTGAAATTCAAAAGCCTCATGCAAACTTAACTATCTGTGCTGGAGCTGAACATCTGTCTAATAATAATGAAGGACAAGAAAATAGCAGGTTATGTGGCCTGGAAACAGAGCCTGTCAAATTGATCAGAAGTCAAGGAGGTAAGCTTTCTGAAATAACTGTGCAGTTCTGTCTAATTAATCCACAGAACAGAAATGTTCTGTTGGGGTTTACTTGTTTTTATTTTTTTTTTTAAATGTATCTCTGTGAGCTATGAGGTATGGTTTGGTTGAACAGTGAGCATTTTGCCACCTTGGATACTGTCATGTTCTCCAGGCACAATATTCTTTCTTTTGCTAGTTAAGTTACTTGTTCAGCAATAGCTAAGCTAGCAGTTGTGCTGAACTGGAACCATGTATTTCTCTCTTTATGCAGGTTATGCTAAGGTCTCTGTATTTTTGTTGATACTTTTCTCTGTAACCTGCCGTTGCAGTATTTCTGCCATTGCTTCTGGGATTACTATCAGGACTGCTCCAAGAAATTACTTCAGGGCACATATATATGTAATGATGGTGTCTTCACTTCTTATTTGTTGGCTTTTTGTTGAGGGCCTTTTCATTTCCTTTCCTGAGTCACAGCTTTCAGTTACATTATAGGTTTGTATGTACTTTTATAAGTTAATCTCAGATTTATTTTTTCTACTTTGAGAGAGGAGAAAATGCCAACAGTTGGAACTTATAAGCAAGCAATTTGAGAAAATGAAGCAAAGATTCCAGAAAGAGATAGAAGAGTTACACACTAAACTGACCAAAGCAGATGATGAAAATTCTTCTTTGAAGACCAGCATGGCTCAAAGGACCAGTCAGTTCCAAATCATACAGGAAGACCTACTGAAGAAGGCTTCAAAAACTAATAGCTTAGAGAAAGAAGTAAGTTTTTAGCAGCACTGAAAAAAATGTCACTTTTTCTTTGTTTCAGTAATCAAAGATAATGAAGACCAATAGTTATTGCCTTAATAACTGTTAACTGTAATTGCCATATTAATTTTAAAATCTGATTTATTTGAGAAAAGTCTGAACTAAACTTGTCATCAAGAAGAAAAATTCAAAAATAGCAGCCTTAGCTTATTAGCTGTTGGAAATATGTTTTTAAAGCTGATGTAGTAGTGGGCTTTTCTGCTACTATTTTGATTTGTTATATGGAAAATATGCTCAGTCTCATTGCTTTGGTATGGTTTAAATAATGTGTAATCTTAGGAAATAGATGTTGAAATACATTTGTATTTTTCCTCATTAAATGTTAGTACAGTTGCCAGAGAAAAACATCATCACCAGAGAGCCACAAATGAAAGAAATCATTCAGCTCATCTCAGGTTGAATAAGTTCAAATGCTAATGTTTATGTTCTGGTGCTAATGTGTTTATAGAGTTTGGCATAATGGGCTTTGCAATATTTCCTAATAATGGACATAAATGTTATAAATCTGTAATAGCTATTTTACTCACAATTACCATTAACTGAATAAATTTTAGGTAAATTGTCCTGAATCTTTCTCTTTAAGTAATAAAATTTAATAGATCAACAAAATAAACGATTAATTAAAAATGCTATAGTAGTACCTAAAATGGAACCCGTGATAAGAAAGTCTATACAAATACTTGAATAAACCCCTAACAGTTGTTTACATGCTGTTTAGTGCCATATTTAATTTCAGATAAGAAAGAAATCTTTTCAACTTTCTGCCCTTGAGGAACAGTTGGAAGAAAAGACTATCGCTTATTCCACTGCTGCAGCAAGAAATGCTGAGCTGGAACAGGAACTCATGGTAAAATGTTCTCAGTGAGAAACTACGTTTATGTGAAAAGACATAAGTGGAGATTAAAGTTTAACTTAACAGTAGTATTTCATGTATTCAAAATGGATGGACTTTCAGATCTGCTAAACAATCTGTGCAGTTTTTAGGGTAGGCAGTCTTTGAAAACTGAATCTTGTTTCAAAGAAAACATTCCTTCTTCCCTGCCTTTGAATGTGGGAAGTTATTAATGGACATGTTACTTTTTCCTTAGGATACATGCAGTGAAGTCAATTGTAGCATTGCCATTTGTTTCAGTGACATATGTGTAGACCTGTGGCTAAAAAAGTCTTCACAATGGTATTTTAAAGATGCCATCTCTCCATGGGAGGGTAGAATTTCTTTTTATCTTTGTCAGAAGTTATCTGTGCCACAGTCCACCTTGGCAGACACCTTGTCTCTGATCTTCTCTCCCTGTGTTACGTCCTTTGAGATGACACAAGCTGTGTGTAACTTCAGTATTTTCTGTGTTGTTCTTTTACAAAAATCTAGAAACTAGATGGTCAAATAAACCACTGATATCATTAAATATTTTTATTAAGTCTTTCTGTTGTTGCCGTTTCCCAGGGACAAAGCAGACGCATTCATGAGTTGGAAGCAACTATCAGTGAAGAACATGAGAAAATAAATTCTGCTTTTGAAAATGCAAAGTTGGTTCACCTGGAGCAGCACAAAGAGATGAAGAAACAGTTAGAACTAGTAAGACTTTGTGTGCCAGTATATATGAGTGTTGTACTTGGTAACGTTTTCCTATGTTAATTTCTTTGTCTTTCTTGTAATTGTGAGACACGTCCATTTAAAAAGTTATATTAAAAAGTTCATTCTTCTCCCTAGGTTTCCTGATTTTACTCCATTTTCCATCTAACTCTACATGACTTTTCCTCTGAAATATTCATATCCTCTTTTCTGCTCAACTAAAGAGAAGTAAGGACTTAGGAAAAGTGCTGTTGTTCTTTGCTCCAAACAAAGCAAAAAAAAAAAAGTACAGCTTTATTGCTAATGGGTTTAAACCATGACAGCTTCTAACAATGTTTTCTTGTTGGCTGAACCTCTGCCAGCCCGAGCCTTATGAGCATCTGTGCTCAGGGAGAATAGCTGGCAGGTTTTTCAGTCTTTGAAGAAGAATTCTGTTGCTTCATGTGATTAGAAATATAACTGTGGCTATTTCTAGCTGTTCAAGAAGCTTGTCATCCTTTACTAAAGCATGTATGAAGCTGATGACAGATTATTACACTCTGTCTGCCTCATTCTCTTGATTCTCCTCTTGATTTAAGATGTTTGGGATTTCTTGATAATTCTAAGACTGTGCAATACTGCTGATGGCAAGACTGTATTTACTTTTCAGTAGAAAAGTGATGGGTAAATAGAACATTTAGATGGAAAAATTCTCATTTAAGTAATACATTATGATTTACTTATGGACAGCTTCAGACACAGCTGGAGAAGAAACATCAACAATTCATTAAACAAGAGAAAATAATCTCTTTTTTACAACGAGAGGTTATACATAAACAGCTTCATCATATCAAATCACTGGATGGGTTGCTGACAGGAAGCAGAGAGGTAAGGTTGGCTCTTATGCAAATTGAACAAGTGACTAGTAATAATGAAAAGAACATCCATAAATACATGGGAAAATTGGAGAAAATGAAACATGCTTTTAAATTCTTGTTTGACTAATTGACTGAATCTAGTTCAGTCACCAGTTACTGCTGCTACTACTGTATATTGTACAAACTTTAGTGGCCTTTCATTATTTTCTATCCCAGCATTTTCTTTATGTCTGTGTTTGCCCCTTGGGCTTCTTGCTCTGATCAAAGGAAACAGATCTGGATAAAGAAAAGTTGCATCTATTCTGCCCTAGGTGGAAACCCAAGAATGTTCTAGTCTGATATAATGCCTGCTGCTGCAGAATATGAGGGGACATCTGTCAGGAACCAAATTCACTTCAGAGTATCACGTACACAAATGCATTAGAGAAGCAACTGGGTTTTAAATACACTCATCGGGATTTTTTTCATTGATCCTTAATATGAGTTTTTATTAAATTACTGCTATTATATTTATGTTTTCTTCTCTTGAATAAAAATATGTGTACAAACAGGAAATGGAAAATCAAAATGTCAGGAAAGATCAAGGATTGAAAATGCTGGAAGGCCACTTAACAGAAGAAATAATCAAAGTTAATAAGTTCTTTGTTATTTTCAATTAATGGTTTTGAAGTTTGCAGTGATGGTGTATTTCCTTTTATCTTCTATCATAAAAATGTTTTATAGAAATTTGTCTTAGGTTAATATTCCAGAAGTCATTGAGCTGAAATATTTCCATTTTTTTCTGTTGTTTTTCTTTTGTTTGCTTTCTTTTTTTTTGATTAAAACAAGTATGGTGAAACCTACAGTAAGAGATTATGCAATGCCTAATTGCTTTATAAAATCACTGTATTTGTAAATAGCACAGACTTGTGCTTATTGTACTCTTAAAAGTACAACCTTGTCTAATAGAGCTAATGTTATGTATCTTTTTTGTCTGCATATGGCCTATATTTTATATATATGATGCTATAATATTGGTCATGTTTTTAACCATCTATACCTCTTCCTAGTGTTTGCCTGATAAATATTTTCCATGCAGCACTTCCAAAAGTATCTTAATAAACCAGTGCCAGGTGATGATTTACCCCAGTGAGGTTTCAAACAGTGTTAAATCTTCAGGGTATCAGCGGGAGAGGATCCTGGGCACTCAGCTAGTTAGCATGCTCTTTCTGAGCTTGTGTTGGACCTGTTTTCTATCCAAGTGGTTTGTAGTATTTGGGACGTTCTACAGAGATTTAAAATTAAGACCCATTGTAGTTTGTCTTCAACAATCTCTTGAATGGGGTGGGGAGAGAGACACACAGTCCAGTGTGATTTAGAAAGCTGGTAGTCTGACTGCAGAATTGAAAGCATCAGCCAGTCTGCAGCTAAATTCAGCACAATTCTCATTGATGAGAGGTCTTAGTGTTGAAACCAAACGGTTAAGAAAAGCTTAATTACTGTGGCTTAAGACGTTTGGGGGTTGGTTCTTTGTAATTTTTATCCATTTGAGGTTATGATGTATTCGTTAGAGATGACTCAAATTCAAATCAATATTAAAAGGGTAAAGCAGATTAACAGTGTTGACATTGCTCAAAGCTCTTCCTTTCCCTTTTGGTGAAACTCCAGCACTGTCTCCCAGTGCAGAAAGGGAACACGCTGTTAGGAACTTTCTCAAAAGAATGGTATTAAGAGTGTAATTTTTGTATCTGACTGTTATTTTTGGAATAAGATGTCAGCTTGCATGTGATGATAATTCCAAATTTATTTATACAGTTCTATATATAACAACCTGTGATGATGGATTAATGACTTGGTATTGGACATATGTCTCCTTTTAAATTCCAGCTACTGACAAATGCTGGAATATCTTCTCATAACTGGTAGTCTCATCTGGTTTAAACACACTCTAAAGTATTGTAATTGAATTTCACAAATAATTTTAATTTCTGAGTACTATTTCAGTTTTAAAGTTTATCATAGTCTTCTGCAACTATTTTAATACTCTTTTGATAAAAATGTAGCTTTTCGGACATTTCCTACAAAGATGACTTTTAACACAGTTTTTAGACTAGTTAATACAAACCATGCCATGCAATTTTAAGTGATCTGTTGCATCCAACTAGGTACAACAACTTGAGTCAGCATTAAAGGTGAGTAAGGAAGAAGTTGCAATGTACTTGAGTCAGTCACCAGAAAATAAGGAGATGTTTGTAAATCAGCGCAAAGACAGGTCTGAAGAGGTAACAGCTTGTTTTACAACTCTTCTGTATTGCAGAGAACACTTGTTATGATTGATTTAATCTGAAAGTTTGTGAAATAACAGCCAAAACGTGGTACTGTGAATAGGAAGTAAGCTGGGAAAAGATGATGCATTTTGTGAGGGTAAAGGGGAAAATCATAACTGAGAAACACTGGATAAGCTTAGGGAAAAGAAGCACCCAGATAAGTGAATTGTTGACAGAAGTAACAAGTCAGAATTATGTGAAACAAAACATTATCTCGGGGAAGAAAATGGAGGGAGCACTATTGCAATATAAATTTAGGTGCACATAATTGATTTGTTTTTTGATTAAGTCTGGGCATAAGAAAATGTTTCCTTCAAGCCCCAGAGTTTTATCATACTTTCTGCTACTACATGAAAACAAGAAGGAACTGAGTGTAAATATTAGTATGTATTTTTCTTTGTGAGTGTGCCCAACCACATGAACTAATTATATAGTAGGCTGTTTGTTTTTTGGGTTTTTTTTGTTCCCCAGAATGGTTTCCCCTGGCATTCATCACTGAGAAATCAGGACTGTTCAACATAGGACAAGTTAGGCACTCAAAATTCCTGGTTTTTATTGGAATGACTATTATAGAGGTAGGAAGAAGGGAGGGGGAAGACTGAGAACCAAATCTCAAGAGGAAAACAAGGACTTTCTGAGAAATAAGGAAAACTGACATAAAGAAAAGTGATTTAGAAATTAAAAATCTCTTATATATGTTTTTAAAATATTGACAAGTTATATTTAGAAAGCAAGAATCAAGAACTGGAACTGCTAAGTTCCCACTATCCTAACCTACTTTCTAAAGCACAACTCAGTGATGAATTATGAGGTCTGGTATGCAATGTTGCAACTGCAGTGCAGCTAAATTCAGAGCCAGAAGTTTTATTGAATCATAGATGTGGTTCTGTGCTCATTAAGGGAGAGTAGCTATGCAAGTGAAAATAAAAATATTTTATTGTAATGGAAAATAAATGTCTTTTCAGCTTTGTTATTTACAGAAAGAAATAAAAGTAAAAGATCAGAATATTCAGGACATGAGTGAACAAACTGTTCTCCTACAAACTTTGCTTCATCATCAGCAAATGTTACAGCAAGAAACTATTAGAAATGGGGAGCTGGAAGATAATCAGATTAAACTTGAACAACAGGTACAGTATGGTGAGAAGTGTCTACATAAAGAGAGAAAAATAAATGCCTTTAGATATGTTTTTGTAATATCTTTAAAATCTGAGTGTTTCTTTGATAACTGAGTTGATAATTATTATTTTAGATACATCTAAAATAAAGAATTTGGTGGTTTGTTTTATCTTAAACCAGGTTCTGTGCTCTCAGAAACTCTAGCTTGCATTAGAGTGGCTGAGTACTTCCAAAATCAAACCCTACACTGCAATTAAGGAGAGGTGCATTTAAATTCAGAAAGTTGTCTCTTGTTATATTTACTAGAAACTATTTGTCGTTCAAACGTGCAAAGTTCTAGTCTTAAATTATTTACAGACTACCATCTGTTGTGTTATGTGAGTTGCAGGACAAGGGTGTGTGTTTCTTTGGAATGCAATTTAAAGGTACTCTCCGAATACCTTTGCCAGGTATCCACTTTGGAGAAAGAGCTTCAGAAGCAGAAAGCACGTGCAGCAGATGAGCTGAGAAAGGCAGAGGAGAAACTTCACTTCACTGCTCAGGAAGCAGATTTCAACAGACAGAAGGTGGATGAACTGAGCTGTACCATCAGGTAGGTTCAGTGTATCAAGGGATATTCTGCACAGACCCGGATCAGCCAGATTGTGTCTGAAATGGAGTTCTGCTCTGGAGTTACTCACTTCAGCCTCTGTGTGAGCACAGACTCGAAATCAGAAGGGAAGCTTCTAACTGGCAGAGTCATGAGTTTCTGGAGCAGTTTTCCAGTGGAATTAATGCATGTCCTGGCAACTTATTTAGCTTTAAGATGGCACTTCATGATGCAGTTCAATTCATAAATGTATCAACTTGCTTGTAACTGTAGATAGTATATTCTAGGAAATGACTACTCTTATAGAATATTGTTTTGATTGCAAGAAAAGCCTACTTAACATGACTTTTTAAATTCTGTTTTATTTACAAACCTTGTCTTAGAGCATGTAAGGTATACACATGTTGCTTTTATTACATGGTTCTTTTTTTCTGGTTGCTTCTAATAGGCAGATTAAATTGGAGATGGATCAGTGCAAGAAAGAACTAACTGATATGGAGAAACAAATAGTGCAGTTACAACAAGATGGTGAAAACAAAACAGTGCAGATAAATCAGTTGGATATCATTTTGGAAGAAGCAAGATTAGAGCTCAATAAAAAAGCAAATGAGGGTAATTTGGCTATTTTGTTTCTCAGGCTTCCTTTCATTATGCTATTTCTCTTTATGAATTAGACATTTTTCCATTTCCCCCTGTCTTATAATCCAGAAAAATGATAATTTTTTTAATGTATTAGTAATTCCATAGTTAATAAAACCTCAAACAAACAAAGCCAAAGCCAACCAAACAACACCCCCACAAAACAAAAAAATCACAAACTTTTTTTTAACATACCTTTGCAAATTCTCACTTCTGTGGCATATACCTTTACCCCAGGTGAAATGAATAAGTAGTTTCCCTGTAAATTGGCAATGCAGATTCTTGCTGTGACAAGCAAATGAGACACATACATTTAATAAAGGCATGTGCTATTCACAAAAATTCAGCTCTTTAAAAGAAACAGAAAACCCCACAAGGAAGTCTATGGAAATAAACTTTCCAATCCATTCTCTTCCATTTAATTTAATTGGACCATTGTTTTGAACCAGAGAAATACCAGCAATTCTGCCTGCATTTTCCATAGCACTACATACTCAATTACTGTATTGTCCCTGCACTTTCTCCTTGGCCAGATGTTTTTAGATGTATCCTCATATTTCAAATCATGAATTGAATAAAAACAAAGCAAAGACTTAGGTGCCATAAAGAGGTTTTTGTATAAGAAGTCACTGTTTTTCTAGACTGTCCTAAACAATACTGATACTGAAAGTTTATTATGACTACAAATGCTACCAGGTAGTGGTGTTGCATAAAGATCCTGATGTGCTGATGATTAAGCATTTTGTCTTTTGTGATGTGTGTGTAAAATAGTGAATGATTTAGAAGATAAGCTGCTTCAAAGTGAGACTTGCCACAGGGAAGCCTTGCAGAAAATAGCAGAACTAGAATCTGCATTACAGAATGCCCGTGGAGAATTAAAAATCACTTTAACACAGCTTCAGGAATTGCAAGATGCATTGCAGAGTGCACAGTCCTCTCTGGAGCAGAAGCACGTTGCTATCATGGATCTAACAACTGAGCTCAGGTAAGCTGATATCCTTTCCATCATGAAAACTTACTTGTGTTCATTTTTCCTTAGGAATAGCAAGTAGCTTGGATGGATTTTTTCTAATGTTCTTATCAGCTGTCTATAATTTTTAGGTGGTTTGCAGCTGTAAGATAACTTGATACTTGAGCTCCTCAGCTCACTTTTAATTTCCAAAAGTGGTGCTGAATTCTTTTTTAGGAATTCTGTTTTAAAAGCTGCTAAAATCATTTTCCGATTCCCAAAGCTGTGAAGTAAATTGTAAGAAGAATAGTGAAATTTTCCAGTTTCCTTTCTGACCACAAATAATGATATTTTCTTCTGTACTATTCTTTTTTAAGAACATGTTGTCCTGATATAGCCAATTAAATAACGTGAATAATGAAGTTGCTGGGGAATCTCCACCTGGAATATAGTAGACAGAATTACTCCATTTGGGTTTGTTTCTTTGCAATCAATTAGCTGATTCCTGTTTAGGGTAATGTGGCTGTAAGTAACAGATCTCATCATTTCCAAGCTGGATACATGAAGTTAAGCAACTGAATGTGCATTAAGCAGTTAAACATATGAGAATTTCAGGTGTTGCAAGGGTGAAATCGAAGACAAAAAGCAAGAACTCCTTGAAATGGACCAAGCACTGAAGGAAAGGAATTGGGAACTGAAACAAAGAGCAGCTCAGGTCAGATTATTTTAAGTACATTACTGACAATTGTTCCTGTTATGTAGTAGATAACTTATAAAAAGCCTGCTAGGTTTGGTTGCTTTGAAGTATTGTCTCAAACTGTACTGTCACTACAGCCAGAGTCAGCCTCAAAACCAGCTCTGTGTTACTGAAGCCTTGTGGCACCAGGAAAATCAGGTTGTGCTTCCCTGAGGGACCACAGAGTTCTGTTTTGGTGGAACAGAAGCCTCATGCAAACCTGTCTCAGAGTTCTCCATTAGTGATAAAGTTATAAGACAACTGTTCTCAGCTTGATGTTTGCTAAGAGGAAGAAAGAGCTGTGCTGAAGGGTGCTTGGAGATGACAGACTCCTTTGCTTGTTTGCACTGGAGCATTGTTTGATTAGCTCTAAAGCAGCCTCTGAATATGAAATGGTGTCTTGGTTGAGAATAAATTTCTGTGGCTCACTTGAAATATTTTCAGTCTTTTGGTCTGGCTTCAGGATTTGATGCCCATCATGGGAAAATTCTTTTTCTGCCACTTATAACTGGCCTCTCCCTGCAGGAGTTACCAGCCTTTGTATTCCAGAATATTTGAGGTTCAGAGAGGAGGAGTGGGGATTTGAATAAATCTGTTTAAGCACCTGACACTGTAAGAAGGCCAGATCTTGCAATATACTTTTGCCACAGTACCCTGTGAGCTGCTCCAGGAATTCATCAAAGCATTTGATGACTTAATGGCTTTTTTTTTGTTTGGCAAAATCTGTCACTTTCTAACAAGGTGGATTTGTATAGTAAATTATTCATTATATTTCTTTGAAAATGAGAAATAGGCTTGTATTCTATGTGTATGAGGACCTAAAATACTCAGTTATGGACTTTTTCCTGATTTTTCTCCTTTTCTTTTTATGTTTGGCCACTATTTTTTTAAACAAGATAGCTAGGGTGCAGTTTTATATTGACTACTCCAGAGAATATTCTTGAGGCTACAGAGGATTCATTTAATTAATTTTTCTGTCATAGTTTGTGATATTACTTCTTAAGATCTACATACTAATTCAAAATAAAATATTTCCTTTTCGTCCTTTCTTACCTGTAGGTTACACAGCTGGATATGACAGTTCGTGAACATAGGGGAGAAATGGAACAACAAATAACTCAGTTACAGTGCAATTTAGAAAAGTCAGAGCTGGAAATCAAGGAATGCAATAAAAAGGTAATTCTCACTTGGTTAAAAACAGTCTCCCTAACAAAGGGCAGCTAATTTTATGAGAAAGTCTGGTCCTGGGACACCATAGCTGGACAGGTTTAATCTAGAAGATGAAAACTGGTTTCTTACTGTAGGGAGAGGGAAGGGAGTACCTTAATAATGTACCAGCAAAAATACTTCATTTGTCAATTGAAACTATAAATTTTGCAGGGATATAAAAATGTGAAACTGAAAAGTTATTTTTTCACTTGATATGATATGATATAGCTCCCAAACTGCTCTTTTGGTAAAGGAACATGTTGACAAAATAAAAAATCGACAAGGGAATCCAAAGTCAGTGGTAAACTGATGGTTATTTGTGAGGTTTTTTTGTTTTGTTCTTTTGGGGGTTTTTAAATCATTCTAACTCTGGTAAAATATCAGTTCTGATTTAATTGCATTTTCTGTTCAGATTGAGAGCTTAGAGAAGAAACTCCAGCATTCTAAAGATCAGCTTCGTGAAAAAGAGTTTGAATTGCTCCAGAGAGATCAAAAAATAAATCAGCTGAAGAAAAAAAAAGCAAAGAAAACAACATAACCTAGAAGCTCTTGAAAAGGTAAAATGTACAAAACGAATTATCAATTTTTAATGTCATTACTGTACCTGCCTAGAAGGAACTATACAGTGTCTCTTTAGCATAAGTGTTGTTAATTCTCCCAGAATCATTGTATTTTGTATCCTGGTGTTTGCTGAATCTTAATCACTTGAAGTTAAACCAGTTTAGTTATTTAAAAATTACAAATTTAATGTCACACTCTTAATTGTCTGCTTTCTGTGGAGAAATTTGAATACTGATTATCTTTTGTAACCTGATTTTCTGGCTGTGGGTGACGTTGCCTTCCTTGAAATGAAACAAACCAAAATGCTGTATGATGAGAGCTTCTCGTGATTGAGGTACTATCCAAAGAGCCCTGAGATGTAGCTGTTTATAGGAACGAGAAGTGAGAGTTTTTTGGCACAGTGAATGGGAGCATATGGATAGAATAAACTTCATAAATGACTTTATGAATGATACAAATCTTTGGTTTGGTGCATGAATCAGTCACTGCAGGTATAAATGTGACCTGAGATAAGTAGGCTTTGTGCAGGGGATTGCCAGCTAGAGGTGAACTCCAAGGCCACGACGTTTCCTGCCACTTTGGTTGGGCTGCATTTGTGTGTTGCTTGTCCCTAGGGTGAGATGTGAAGGAAGGTTTATTTCTGTGTGGTCACCAAAAACATTTGATCTGTATTCCAGATCATGGGGGCTTGGCTGGGTAACAGCTGAATGTGAAGGTTGGTTCAGTGCCAATTAAAGCAGTGTCAGCTCTCCCTCAGTGTCGGGTTTTCTGTTAGGTTGTTTATGACACTCAAGGACAGGACAGTGTGTGCTGCTCCCATTCACACATATCATTAACATATTGCCAACTTTTCCTAACTGATTCTTCGCTTCAGAATTTCCTAGCTAGCCCCTGTACAGCTGCTGACTGGACCCTTTCTTTCCAGACAAACTGCCTTGTTAGAGTTTTTGCTAAGGAATACCAGGTAGGGAGAGGCCTTAGAATGATACAAGAAAGGCTTTGAAAATAGACCTACTCTAGTCATCTTCCTTTAGAGACCTGGGATGAAGGAAAAGAAATTTTATTTTCATTGCAGTGAGGTGGATAAAACACTGGATTTTGGAAGCATTCTGCATAAAATACAAAATACATTGCAGAGGGCTTCTGGCTCCACTTCTAATATGATGTGGTTCCTTCTTTGTTTAAAAATTGTGTATATTAACATGATGTATGAAAACAATTTCTCCATTAGGAACACATTGCAGAATGGCTGACCAGTCTTCCACAGAAACTCTCTGTCCTAGTTCTAAAACCTCAATTGCCTAATTCATCTAGGGGAGAATGGTGGGGGCTGTGTCTTGCCCAGGGGAGCAGTCTGTCTGTCTCATTCTTTTTCCTCTTAAAACACTACCTTGGCTGCTTATTACAGAAAATATATTAGTTCAGGGGAGGAATTGCTGGAGAGGGTAGATTTCTGTCCTAGTCCTCTCTGCCCCTTTGGGACTCATGAAATAACCAGGTCACAGATTTTTTGGTTGAATCGTTCTTTGTTCTTACTCTGCTTCAATCTGCAGTGAGGATCTTGTAACAATTCAGCACTCTGCTACCCTTCAAAGCTGTAAGTATTCCAATTAAAGGATCTCAAAATATCTTACTGAACATTAAGAATGAATTTTTCATTTTCCTGGGAAATTGAAGTAATTTCCTTTATTAAAAAAAAAAGCAGATTGGACTTTTACAGCAAACTAATTTTTTGTGACCCCGGTTTCTTCTGAAATGAGAAATAAAATTGTTTAAAAACCTAACGTTAATGTAAACATGGCTGCTGTATATGATACACTAAAGAGACCAACTGCTCTTTCTATAAGTGAACTGCTGAATAATAACATCCAGCATGTAAACTTGTTTTTCAAAGCAGGGGTGGGAGGAAGCTAAAGCTCCAGAAACTAACAAAAAGACCCCACCCAACCTCAAACATACTGTGTTTGGCTGCATTTATTTCTGTGTGCTGTAGAAAATCCAGTTGACATTCACGTTGCTATTTTTCTTGCTTTGTATTGCTAAACATCATAAGCTTTCTTTCTCTTGATACCTTGATACTGTTGGTGGGGTTTTTACAAACACTTCCTGAATTGTTAGAATCTTCAGTTGCTGGGAACTTAAACACAGTAATGCAATCCAACATGAAACCTTAAGCCTTACACAGGGGAGCAATTTCAAAAGACAGTGCTCCTTCAAACTGTGCAAAAGTTTTACAGGGATTTGCATATGAAGATTTCTTAAACTGTTCCACATAACATTTTCCTACTTCTCTGTTAGAACTTAGTACATGTTGTAAAATTTGTAAGTTGTGCTCATTGAGAAAGCAAATGCACTTCAATTACAAGAACAGTGGACAAAAATGCATTAATAATGTCAGTTTAGGGGTCAGAATTTGAGAAAACAGGCGTGGACTTGAGACCTGCTGTTAGTTTTCTTGCATTTGTAAGATAAATGTTAATAATGAAAAGTAATCTCTTGGTACAAATCGATTTAGATATGATAATTTGAATGCAGAAGTTTAAAGGAAGGTTCTGATCACAGTTGCTTTGTTTCAGGGGCAAGAACTGTGAAGAAATGAATGTTGCCCATTGGACAAGCAGCAACCCAGGAATGCTACTGCTGGCATCATAGTTGTGCATTCAAAGAGCAAATTTTAATGTAGTATTTCTAAAGAAGGAATGGAGTTATTTGTACTGAAGCAGATGATACCCTTTTTATTTTTCCAACTGTTTTTGAGATTATTGCCTTGATATAGGAGCATATTAATTTATTTTTTATACTTTAAAATATTTATCTTAAGTTGTAGGAATTAATTTCAGCTGTCATCTTTTTCCAAGGATTTCTAATTAAAAACACAATGGTGTTATTAACAATTTTTGTTTGGGAATATTTTATCTTCTTTTTGTGCATACGCAGCGTTGCAGACACAACATCTTATTAAAATTGACCTGTTTGTAAGATGTTTTAGGACACTGATTTGATCACAGACACTGGCAAAACCTGCTTGCTTTATTCCAAGCAGTATCTTTAAGATGCAAAGAGGACAAGGCCATAAAGCTTTCTGAGCTTTGAGTTTGTTTATTTCTTCCAGCAAAAATCCATACAAAAATTACCATAGATTAAAATGGCATCATAACTATGCATTCTAAAACATATTTATTTCCATTTTTCTGAATAATGCATTCATCATTTACGTGCATTAAGACATGTGATTCATACTTTAGAAAATCAAGTTAGTAAAGTTACTTGACTTAAGAGGAACAGAATTGAATGTGTTGCAATATAAATCCTAGGCCTCAGTTGAGTGTTTTGTATTTACAAGTGTATCTTGGCCAGCAAATAGATCTGTTGTGTTTCTGCAACTCTGCAAGGGGTCCTGTGCCAAAGTCCTTGGGCAGTCATGGGCCTTTCATTGTTTGTGTAAACACGTTCCACAAATGCCACACGAAGTGGTTCTACAAAACCAGCCACACATTCTGCTACCATAGACAAGGTTAAGATACACTTATCTAAAGTATTTCTGCAGTTTCAGATTATTTATTCTGCTATTATGAAAATTGGGAGGTAGTGAAAAATACTGTTCCTTACAGAAATATATTGTGTGTTTTATATCAAGCTGTATGTTTCTCTGCATAATAGTAAAGGAAAGCATTAGAATTAGGTTGACTGGTATAATAATTGCAAATTACACTATTTTTTTTACTCTCTTTAGGCATATCACTTTGCCTTCAGGCTAGAAATCTATGCATCAACTTTCAGACAGATTTTTTTTTTTAAAGCAGTGGAACATGTAAGCCCTTCAAACCAGAATTTCAAGGAGAAAATACAACCAATCTGTAATTACAGCTGCATCACAACACTAGTGGAATTCCACTAACTAGCATTGCATAAAGCCTCGCTTGCTCCTCCTACATGCACTAAATATAAATGTGCATGAGCAGCAAAAGCAATTTGCCTAATCTCTGAATCAGCTAAATAGCATTTGCACTGAAATTTTGTCTGTATACTAACTTATCTGGTTAAACTGGGGGTCAAACCTGTTAAATAAGCAGAATCAGAATGACGTTTTCTCTTTAACTTTAGATGTTGTGCTATTTTGTTGCTTGCCTGAGAAGTTAATAATTCCACTTACACTGTTCAAGTCAATTTGTTTCCTTTGGAAAGGATGGAGTTGGATTTTTTTAAACACAATTTCAGTTAAATGTTTCTGTAAGGTCCTGCTTTTCTTGAATTACTAATGGATTTACGTCTCTGCAAATCCTGGAACACTTAAGTTCATTTTTCTAAAGTGCATTGCATCACATGGGATTGTTGAGTCTTGGCAAACATTTTACTGGGTATAATGGCATTGCAATTAGCTGAATGCTGCTCATAAGGCTAATTGCTTATTAAGGTCTTTCTTTTTTCTGTCACTGAGGGCAGAAACAACACTCTGAGTTTCTTTCTGTACTATACCTGCAGTTCCTGTATGTTAAGCATGCATTGCACCAAAGTGCCAGTCCAAATGCCCCTGTGTTTAATGCACAGTTTATATGCAAAATTGGTGGAATATTTTCTCCAGAACTAGAACGGTCCAAAACTCAGACATCATGCTAGTTCTGATTTTTTTAAATTTCCATCTTGTCATTTGCAGAATCGAAAGTGTTGAAAGAGATTCCAGTCTTAGCAAGCACGTAGTGAAGCTGCTCTGTTCAACATCTTCCTGTCACTTCTCCTGTGCCAGTATACTTGCTTGCTTTCCCTGTTCTTGGTTGGGAACGCTGCCCAAAGGAAATGTGAGGAATCTGTCCAACAACTCATCTCTCAAAACCCACATCCCATTTTACAATTTTTTTTTCTGTAGTGGCTATTAGGACTCATAATAGTAGGAGATTGGGAAGAAATCCATTCTTCATTCTGTGGAAAAAGAACAAGGAGGGTGCAGTAGGTGTAGAAGGTCTGAACAGCTTTAGCAGAGGGGTCCCACTTTGGGTGCAGTTTACTTTCCATAAATGTGAGTGGAAGACTCGACACTACAGACTGATTGTAATTGTGGCAAGGCTTTTTTTCCTGCCAGTAGTGTGCAAGCTGGTTATTCTATTAAAAAAAAATCCATGTAGTTTACAAATGTCTTATTTTTAAGTTTAATCAAATTTTGTATAAATATAATCCGTGTTGATAATGCAGATTATAAGCACTTGCAGGAGCATGTGCTTCTGTTTTTGTCTAGTTGGAGATTATCCCTTAATCATGCAAGGTCCAGGTGTGCACTTTCAGATTTGTTGACTCAGGGAAGCTGGAGATGACATTAAAGGCCAGTCCCATTATACTGTAGTTACATTTAGGTTGTTGCTCCTCTGAAGAAGAACTCTTGCTTGAACCCCTCAGTGAAAAGAATGGCAAGAAGAAATGTGCTCATTACAGGCTGCTCCTCAGGGATTGGACTGGCATTAGCTGTAAAAATGGCAAAAGATGAACAGAAGAGATTTAAAGGTAACCACGTATCTGTTATTTATCTTTATAAAAAGATTCCGTTCAAAACAGTGCTGTTTTTTCCTCTCTGATTTTACAGGCAGTTGTATTCAGCTTGGTGACTTGTTTCTATTTAGTTTTCCTCTTCTACTGCCAAGAAAATACAATACAGTGAAAAATATACTGTTTTCTGTAAGCAGTTTATATTTCTGTAGCTGTATTGAAACTGAGCAGCTACAGGAAGCGAATAAGTTTACACACACACCAGGGAAAGACGGGAGCATAAAGCCCAGTGGCTGCAGATCTGGGGGGTGTGCTGCCTCAGACACACATTCACAGCTGGGGGCAGCTTTGCTTGGGGCTCCTCAAATGTGTTGAATGAAAGGTACATGCCCGTGCCCATTTGAGGACCAAAGAAGGGAATTTAGGTAAACTTAGGTAAATTTGGAGTTCTTTCCTTAAAGCACATTTCATTATTCCAACCCTGTGTAAGCATAACTGCGTGAACAAAGGGGCTGGGATTTGTCTTACTGCTGAAAAACAGAGTATTTGCTATGACTGAAAGTGGATGGCAAGGTGAACACAGCAATCGTACTTACTCTCACAGTTTTTTACTGCTAATGGACTGGATGCACATTCAGAGCTTTCTGAGTAATTAGGCCACAACTAATTTTTTTCAACCTAAGGAAGTATCTGTCTTCCACTTTTTAAATAGAATTATGGTTTTTATTTCTGCTAACTGTTGCTTCTGGTGTGCTGCAGTTTATGCCACAATGCGGAATCTGGCCAAGAAAGAGCCACTGGAGGAAGCTGCGGGTCGCAGGCTGGGCAAAACCCTGGAAATTAAACAACTCGACGTCTGTGATGAACAGTCCATTAAAGCTTGTGTGAACAGTATCCCTGACAGAAGGATTGATGTCCTAGGCAAGTACAGGATGTGTGTGCTATGAACAGATACCAGATTTCTATATATCATCATCTCAATTAACCTGCAGAAGTTTCACTAATGTAGTTTTTAAGTTATCAAAGTAATAATAATTGCATAATATATTCTGTTCGAGATCTTAAGACTTCACGTAGACATGAGCCAACCCTGCTTCCATGAAGTAGGGAAGCTTGTTTTCCTTGTTTACAAAGGAGAAACTTGATCACAGGGAAGTGTCTTGGATAAGATGAAACAGTTTTTAGTAAATGTGAGAACTTTTGCCTAAACCGGCACTTTCATGAGCAAGACTTTCTACTCCATTGATGAAGCAACAACTCTTTGTAGTAAGAAAGCAACAGCATTTGGGAATGAGCAAGTAAAAGAACAAATGCAAAGAAAGTAAGGATATTTTCACTTTGTATTGAGAACTTAAATTGTACTTTACAAATCGCTCAACAAGTGTTTTCATACTGTTTTGCTAAAAATAAATATTAATATCTTAGTAAAATGGAAATTGCTTACACCATCAGCTATTAAATCTTCTCTAATAGAAAATTATGGATCTGCATTTATTTTGATTAATTATTGAAGCAGTGCTTAACAAGCTGTTTCTGCAAAATGTACTGTAATTTGACATACTAGTTGTAATGCAGAACGCCAGTCCTATCATCATTCTCCACTTATAAATATCCAGAAGGCAAATAAAAAATAATGGAAGTGTGTGTTTGGTTGGTTTTGCTGGGGGTTTATTTCGTCTTGAAGATATGAATGTTAAGAAAACAAAAACCAGACCACAATCTGGCCCAGTCTATCATGTTTTGAAGACTTCTGTTTATTCTTATAGGTATTGACTGTAAATTTAACTCTTAATACTGAATTATAAACAAATACAGGTAATTCTTGTCTCATTTTCCTGTAATACTTTAGTAACTTTTTTTAGAAAGGACTAATCAGAAATAAATTAGTAAAAAGGCAAAGTATATGATAATTTAAATTGGAATAAAAGCATAGTTAAAAAATAAAGAAATCTGGAAGTGTCAAGTGTATTTGCAAAGCTTTAGTGACAATAACGTCTTTTAATCCTTTCTTAAAGGATTATTTAAGGATCATTTAACCCTTAATCCTCATTTTACTTTCAAATGCTTTCCAGTAAAGATTACAAGTTTATGTTTATGGAGGTTGTTGCTCACTGTTGTGTCCCATTTTGCGCAGTGAGCAATGCTGGAATGGGGCTCATTGGACCTATCGAATGTCAGACCATCGATGAAATGAAAACTGTGATGGACACCAACTTCTTCGGACTGGTTCGACTCCTGAAGGAGATTCTGCCTGACATGAAGAGGAGAAAGAGTGGGCATATAGTTATAATCAGCAGTGTTATGGGAATACAAGGTAAAGTTTGTTTGTTTGTTTGTTTGACCTAAGAGTTCAGTACTCAAAATTTAAAGCTTTCCTCTGTATATCTAAAAGAAAAAAAGTAGGAGCTGGCATATCTAACTGTTGTATTTTGTAATGCTGATGTTCTGACTACAAAAAGCACCTGATGGGTTTTATGCATCTAGGTGGGATGTTACTACACAGCTACTCTCAAGACATTATAGCAACACAACCTGCAGAGTGAATCTTTTTTTTAGAGTTTTAATTTAAATTCCATTTTAAAAAAAAATTATTGGTTTTATTATCTGGAGAACAGGGCTTAGCATTACTTTTCTCTTTCCTACTGGAAGGAATTATGGGAACAGACAAACATGCTTACTACACTCTGCACAATAATAATAGAATCAAATCCAATCCTGAACAACTGTACCACCTTTTTGTAAAGTTTCTCGTCTCATAAAACTCGGAGAGTAAAATTTCACTGACAGATAGCGGTACTCCCACTCTCGTGTCCCATCCTGTCTAGCTGTATTTGTTTCAATTTTTTTTAAAACTTACCTGGATTATTCTGGTGAGCAAGGGCCCTGCATCAAACTGCAAAAGTTGTTATATTAATACAATACTTCCCCTCCACCTAAAGGATTGATGTAGTGCTTTTTCTAACTGACTCAGATGCCAGCTGGATCTCTGGCATGATTGGATCTCCTGCACTGCACTCAGCTCCTGTGTTTGTCTATTAAAGTCTTGCTGATAAATAATGCAGATGGTATTACGTGTACAGACACTTCCACATCTTAGACTACAAAATCATATCATCCAAAGAGATCACAGCATTGCTTAAGAGAAGGAAAAGTATTACTCAAACATCCTTTCCCAGACTAAGCAGTTTTGAGAACTTAGGCAAAACTCAGTGTTTACATTCAGCATGCACAAGGATTTTTCTAATGTTTTCCCAGCAAGGCTGTAGAAATGAGCTTTTACAATTAAACTATTGGTATGTTGAACACAATCACATTCTAAAGGATGTTTTGTTTGTATCATCAGGTATTTTATTTAATGATGTTTATGCTGCATCCAAGTTTGCTGTGGAAGGTTTCTGTGAAAGTTTAGCTATTCAAGCACTCAAGTTCAAACTGCAGTAAGTATTGATCCACTGGTGTAAATTGTATTTTAGATAGTGTTAAATATTTCAGATCTAGTAAACAAATTTTTAAAGCTTGCTGCTAAAGAGATTAAGAAGCCCTTGAAAACCATATGTCACAAAAGGCATAGAAATGTCCACACTCTTCACACTACCTAAGCAAATAAAAAGATCTAGATGTTAAAATAAACATGTTCTCTTGAATAGTTAAAGGCTGTTTAGCTGTGGATAAAATACAGTTTATGTAACCCTTCTGAAAACAGATTCTTGCATACGATATCACAGGAATGAAATTATAACATCAGCCTGTGATCTTTTCCTGTAGAAGGGAGAACAGCCTTCTTAGGCAATTCACAGATGAAAAACTCCAAGGGCTCACCATAGAGAGTGAGCAAGTGCAAATCCATCAGAATGGAACACAGGGAGAGATACCTGTAATGACAGGGAGTGGGAGCAAAGTGAGAACAGTGTGCTGTACTGCTTCCAGTGTTTTAGACAGTATTTGTCTAAAATAGTGATTTGTCACATGTATATTCACACTCATGTAATTCTGCTACTGTTCTTTGTGTGAAGTCCAACAACTGGTAAATATTCACTGCGTCTGTGTGTGCCCAAGCATTGAGCCCCTGTGCTGTGGAAGAAGAGACACCTGCTGTTGTGGGATTTCAGAGACAAAGCTGTGATTCCACATACTGCTCTGCAAAGTTTGGAGGGATTTAAAATAACTGTATTGTAAGGATACACAGGAGATACCAGAATCCAGAATTAGATTTCAGAGTATAAGACACAGCAAAAAGGAGGTTAAAAAAGGAAGTATAATAGGAAAGGTTAAAGGTCCGATGGGAAGAGTGACATAAGAGAAAAGGCATTAATTCCAGCAGTAGCTGGAATTCTGCTGTGAAGGTCAATAGTTTGATTTAGTTCTAAAGAAGAGCCTTTAGAACATCCCCAAAGAACTCAAGTCTAGAAAGAGTTTTTTTGACAAACACAGTGGCTGGGACTTATTATTGCCTGAGAAAAGAACTGGGAAAAAAACCTGATCAGTATCTGTATTTCAGTGATTTGCTGTATGTTACTGAGCAAAACAGCACAGCAAAAGTCTCTATGTTGTAATTAATTATTATACAGTGGGGATCAATTCAAGGGGTCTTGAATTATCTAATGCTGACAGCTTGACAAAGAAAATCCACCTTTGGGCAACTCCCCATCTCTTTCAGCTACTTTTGGTTTTATCAAGGGAAACAAAGCAATCAAGGCAGAATTTTGTCCGAAAAATAACGAATTTTGTTATCATCCATTAATTCTTTTTCCTAATGTCTGATAAGCTCTTGTGGATAAATCATCCTTAGATTCCACAGCTGTGAGACAGCAGGTAACTTACTCACTTATGGCACTCACTTATGCCATGAATTAAGTTACTGCACTTCTCTGAAAATCAAACTACGCAGATTTCTACAACCCCATGGGGCTGGGTAGGAGGAGCATGAGAACAGTAATGCAGTATGGGTTGCTTTTACAGAATGTACTGTTTAATATTGTTTGCTAAGAGTGCAACCCTTCAATATTGCTTTTTTGTGAAGGATTGAGGGGTGTATTTTCCATTGGGGAGAGTCAAAAACCAGTATATCTTTGCTGTTTGAACAGGTTAAGTTTGATTGAACCAGGCCCAGTGGTTACAGAGTTTGAAAGAAAAGTGTTTGAAGATGGAATGAAAATGGATCTTTCAGCTGCAGATGCAGAAACAGCAGAGATGTTTACTAATATTTACCTTAAAAATTACAAGCAGATTTTCCAGAGCCTGGGACAAAGTGCTGAAGATGTTGCAGAGGTAACTCATCAACAATTCTCCATCTTCTTTTTTTCTTTTTTTTTTTCCTTTATAATTTACAAATGCAGTGGTTGGTCGGTGGGTTTGTCTGGCAGAAGCATTAGATTTAATTAAATGTAATACACACAATCAAAAAAGAGTTTTTAAAAACTCAAGAGAATATTAAGGAGTTCTAACTAAAACACTGTAGAATATTAAGAGAATGTTCATTTTGAAGTATTGAAGACAACCACGAATTGTAATGTAAACACCACCGAGGTATTAGATGCCCTGTGCATCATCTGTTGAAGGCTGAGCACTCTGCAGTGTTACCCTACACGAGCACAGGGCTCCCACCGTTGGCAAAGCTGCTGCCCTGTCCATCTCCCTGGTGATCCCTCCACTGTGGGCAAGTTCACTCAGCCACCCCAGACCGCCAAGGCTCAGCAGAAGAAACAGTGAACTGCAGAAGAAAAGATCTACTATTGTGGGCATATTTTGGAAGACTATTCAGGATCCTCAGGTGTAAGGTGCTATTCACCATGGTATAGAGAAACAGAAATAGGACTAAGAATAAATAAAAAATACTTCTTATGGCCTTAAAATATTTTAAGAAACATTTCTAATGAAATTCTAATAAAACTATATACAAGGTTTTACATAATTCTAGGACTTTATACTTTCACTTTTCCACTGTTAACTGAAAACTGGGGTTTTACTTCATATTTTGTAAAGGTCCTTTGAAAATTCTATTTCTCCTTCTCTACAGCATACAGTAAAGGTAATTCTTGCAGAAAATCCACCTTTTCGCCACCAGACCAACACCTTGTATACTCCAATGACAACTCTGAAGTATGCAGATCCAAATGGAGATCTACCCATTGATATATTCTACAAAATGGTTTTTCAGCATGACAAAATCTTCAGTGCAAGTCTTAACTTCATCAAATTGCTACGGTGGAGAAGTAGAAAGAGCTTTGACCTGGGAAAACCCTCACAATAAGTATGAGATTATATAGTGCAAATTGGGGTTACTTGTGGCTGCTGATGACTCAGTATGTTGTTATTCAAATGGCTTTGCTCTGTAATTGTGAAAAGGCATTCAAGATGTTTATTTGACCTTAGCCAAGATATTCAGCTGAACGTGTATATCTTCAACGTTACAGTTTGCAGAATCTTGCAATTAAAATCCTCTAACTATAGTTTTCTTCATTTTAGTGTTTGCTTTTTTTACAGATCTGTTTTCGTGGGAATGTGGACATTGACTGACATTTGTGTATTCAGTGTTAGGCTGATCCCTTCACTTAGTGGAATATAAACATAGTGAGATGTGTACAGTAGGTAAACTATTTAGATTCTTAATATCATAAAAATATTGGATCTTTTCACTTATTAGGATAGAATCAGTGATCCTTCAATCACAGCTGCATTGTTGTTTTCAGAAGTCAGATCTATTTATCAGCAACATGAGAAAGTCTCATCAATCTTAAAATGTCACAAGTGGAATATTTATTATTCATATATATTTATTATAATATTCTGAATGCTTCCTTTATGGGCAATGGTTACTAGTGTATTACACTTAGTGAACAATAAAATGTTTTTTAAAAGCAACTTAAAGTATCTTCTTACTGTCTTGGTACTATTCTTTTGAGAAACAAAGTATTACCAGTAATAAGTAATTTCAGTTCCTTAAATCCCCTCAGTGTCTGAAGCAGAGGCACAGGCTCTCCTCTTCTAAGCTATTCTAATAAGTAGGTGTTAAACCAAAATTCTGTCACGAAGAGAAGGCCTTTCCTTGTCTTTCTCTCGCCCTGGTCTGAGAAGTCATCTGAGGCCAGCTGGGGGCCTGGCTTGAAGTGCTGTTCTTGCACGGCATTCCTGTTCCCTGACCTCCAGCCTTGCCCCTCGGGCCTCCAGGCTGGTGTTCCTCAGCACATTCCAGCAGCTGTCCTTGTCTCACCCAGACAGCCCAGCTGGAGCTCACCGGGGATACAGCAACTGTCTTTCCTTCGATTCTTTCTCACTAAGCCAAAATCTTTACTCCATGCTGGGACTTGCCCAGCCCTGCCCTGCCCCTCCCCAAAGGAGCTCCAAGGAGCCAGGCAGCACCCGGGCGTGGGCAGCTCCTGGGGATGCCAAGCACTGCAGGGCACACACGATTTGCTCTGCAGGTGGGGCCCGAGGTGTGGGGGCGGCAGGGCCCTCCCAGGGCAGCAGGCAGGGCAGTGAGGGGAGAGCAGCACCCTGGGCCCGGCTGGAGGCCTCAACCACGTCCCACTCCTAAAGCGAACCGGGAACACGCCGGGCTGGTGCCCGCAGCCCCGCATCAGCCTGTGCGTGGCACAGCGGTGGGAACAGCGGCCAGGCTGAAAAGGAGCAGGCAGGGACCGAAGGCCAGCAGTGCTCTGGGGCTGAAGGGAGCGCGGCCACTCGCCCTCTGCAGCCCTTCGGCACCAGCGCGGGGCAGCGCTGGGCACGGACAGCACTGGGAAGGGAGAGGCGTGCAGGGAGCAGCTCCGCGCCGCTCAGCTGCGGCTGTCCCGGCCCGCAGGCTGGGCTGGGCCGTGGGGTGTGAGGGCCTTCCACAGGCACCGGTCTGGTTAACTCTGCCTCACACAACCCTCACGCTGCTGGTTATGGGGTGGCTGGAAGCACAAAATGCAGCTTCACAGACGGAAAATCCCGAGCAAACCCCCCCGTGGCTGCGAGTCGCGGAGAAGCTGCGGATGAGGAGCCGAGCGCCAACCGCGCGCCCCGCTGCGGGAACCCACTACCACCGGAACAGAGGGGAGGGCGCCCGGAGCAGCTGCCGGCGGCAGCAGCCGGGCCGAAGGGCGAGCGGTGCCGGGCGGGGCAGCCCCCGGGCTGACGGACGGACAGACGGACGGACGGACCGAGGGCCCCTCGCCGGCCCCGCCGCCCGCACGTGGCCCCGCGCCGCTTCCGGCGCCCGCGGCGCGCGGCGGAAGCTGTTCCGGCTTCCGGCGGAAGCGCCGTCCCCGCAGGTTGAGCCGGAGCCGGAGCGTTTCCGCCTCGCGGCCGCCGCTCCGCCGGGACGGGCCGGGGAGCTCAGCTCGGGGGAGCGCAGCACGGCTCCGGCCAGCCCAGCTTGGCACAGCCAGCTTAGCTCAGCCCAGCCCAGCCGAGCCCCCCGCGGGCCGTTCGGCCGCTCGCCTCCCCTCAGCGCGGTCATAAGGCGGCGGCGCCGGCGCCCGAAGGATGTGTCGGAGGCGGCAGTGGCAGGCGCCGCGGCCGAGGGAGCCCTGAGCCCGAGCAGCGCCTCCCGGCCCCGCCACCCCGGCCCGGCAGCGACCCCCGGCCCGGCCCCCGCGCCCTCCGCCCCTCCCCGGCGTCGCCCCCGCCGGGCCCCGCGCCCTGGAGCCCCGCTGAGCGCAGCCCCGGAGCCCCCGCAGCCAGGATGGCCTCGTCGTCCGGCAACGACGACGACCTCACCATCCCCAGGGCTGCCATCAACAAGATGATCAAAGAGACGCTGCCCAACGTCCGCGTGGCGAACGACGCCCGGGAGCTGGTGGTCAACTGCTGCACTGAGTTCATCCACCTCATCTCCTCCGAGGCCAACGAGATCTGCAACAAATCGGAGAAGAAAACCATCTCCCCCGAGCATGTCATACAAGGTGAGCTCCCGCAGGCGCCGTCCTGCCGCCGGCCCGGGCACCTGTGAACCGCCCTCTGCCCCGCGCTGCTCTTCCCTCTCCGGTCGCTCGTAGCTGTGTAGGAGACAAAAGGCAGGGGCTCGTCAGGCTCTGGAGGAAAGGCGGGTGTTTCCCGGCTCGCCGGTCGCACCGCACGGCAGGCTGTCTTTGTGCGGCCGGAGCGGCTGCTGCGTGTGCTCAGCACCAGCTCTGGTTCTGTGGTTCGGAGAAGCCCGTGGTGCTCCGAGTGAAGTCACCAAATCTCTTGCTCTTTTTCGTCCCTGTGAAACGAGGTCTGCTTTTTCGAATGGATATGCAGCATGTTTTAAGACCCTGAATGTATTAAATGTGCTTCCAATTGGAGATTAATTGAGTATGTGGGGCCCAGGCTTTAATCTGTGGTAGTTCTGTCTGGAACCTCTGAAGAATGTAATATTTCTCTAGGGCTGTCTTTACAGTCTGGTTGTTTAATGCCAAATGTTTGTATCTGTCGCAGAAAGCATTTAAACGTGACCTGTGCCCTTTTATCTTTTTCTGCTGTTGACTTTCACTTCCCCTTGCTCGAATAAAAGGCGAGTTCTCTCTGGGTCTCATTTGCTTTGTCTTTTAAACTCTGCTGCAAACAGGGAGTTTTCTTGCCTCATCCTGAAGTCTTCATCGGGCACCTTTTGTCAGGACTTACTCACTTTGCCTTGAGACAAGGCTGATACCCCTGTCTGCTGCAAACAGATTTACAGCAGCAATAGATAGTGCAGGAGTACTTTGTGCCTAGTAGAGATGCTAACAGTAGCATTTGTAGTAGAGCTATTTTCAGGACTGTGATGGTATCAGGTTAGTTTTAAAAAGGTTGTTAATTTGGTTGTTTTTTAGTAATAATTTGCTGTTTGAAACAAAAAAATTAAAGTCTGTCAGCTTGCTCACCAGAAGAGGTTCAAGTACTTGACTGGAGTATGAGCAGTAAGAGAAAATATATAGCATGTATGAGCTTTAATATGAAATAAAATACATGTAAACTTGAAAGCTTAGCGAAGTAACTCCCTCACAGAAGCTTAGGATGTGAAGAGCAAAACCTGTGCTTGCACATGGAAGCACACTTTGGGTGTAATGCTCTTTAATACATGGATAGTTTCTTCAAGTCATCATGAAAACAATTGAGCTTAGTTCTTAATGCAGGAATAGACATGGTGTTTAATGCTGAGGACAACAAAGAAAGTGTTTTGTGCCCAGTAGTGGTTGGTGGTTCTTAGAAAAGATTTCACCTGTTGTTGGCCTAGGGTTAGTCTAGGTTTTTTGGAAAACAAATTGAAACTGTGTGTTCATACCATCATCAGGTAGACCCATACCAAGAATTTCACTGGGTTCCATGTCTTTGTGTTGGGAAAAGTTATCTTTGTTTTCAAGTTGGGAAAAGTTATTTTCAAATTAAATCTATACTTTTTAGCCAAATATTGCATATACTTTGGAGATGTATCCATTTTTGCAGTGCTCTAGAGATAGTAGGAGTTGTTCCAGTCTTTAGGGAGGTGTATGTGCTCCTAGCTCCTTTCAGGTGCTGGTCGGTTGGCAGGTGATCCTTCTGTGAGGTATGAGGGTTTAGATTGATTGCCATTTTTGGAAACATTATGTTTATATAGGTAGAGTATTTCAGCATTTTCATCCATCTTTGTACCTTCTAAATACTTGCTGTGTTGACTCTCAGTGTAGCTCCATGACAACGATGTTAACAAATTAGGTAATTGAAATGTGTTGGTTGTGGCTATCCATGTATCTTGTTCCTTTTGAATGCTTAGAGGTAAAATGAGGCTAATGGCCATTTTGAGAATTTGGGAGGGCGCAAGGTTTCCTTTCAGATGAGTTTGCTGGTCTGACTGGAGCTGTAAACAAGAAGGTACTAGGTAGGAAACAAGAAATGGGAAGGGTATTTCATTTGGAAGGAGGAAAGAGAAACAGGCACTCTGCAGTTGGTGACATCTGCCTTCGGACTGTATGGGAGGTGATGTGGAACTGCTCCAGTGTGTCCTGACGGTACTCACGTGTTTGCAGCACTGGTGCTTAGGACACCCCTTCCTTTGCTGCACTACTAAATGACTGTATGGCCGTGTGCTGAGCAAGAACTCTTTCCCCCTGCCCGTGGGTTGTGTTTCAGATGGATGAGGTCCCTGCTGTGTTTTATTGTGTGGTAGCACGAACGCTTGACTGGCACAGGGCTGTCAGCAGCACAGGGAAAGGAAAGCAGAGGCTTCCTGCATCCCATGAGAGATGTGATTTGATAGATGTACTCAGACCGTGCCAAGCACTCACTACTAGGAATAAAATGCAAAAGAGCTTCCTTGGAGAGTATCCAAAGATACCAAGGCTATGTCACAGTTGTAAGTGGAGATAGTCTCCATGTTTATTGTTGAATCCCACCATCAGGAACCCAGCTGTGAGTCTGCGGCTTTAGTAACAAACGAATGTTCTTCCATCCCGGAACAGAAAATAGACTCATTTGATAGTTACAGCAGTTGTGACAAAGTAGGTTTTTTATGAAAAATTAAAATTCCATTAAATTCTGAAAATGGTGACTTGCTAAATGACCGGCTTTATGAAGTGGAGTACTTTGATTACTTGGTCTGCACAGAACTGTTGTGCAGTAAGGTAGGCTGTGAATTGATGGCAAATCCTGCAACTCCTTTTCATGGGCTGTTAGGGTACTGACAGTGTTTATGCTAGCATTTAACTTTAAAGAAATCCCACACAGCTGTTCATGTTTTGGATTTTAATTTGGAAGTTATTTTTTCTTTGAAAGGAGCAGATGAGTTAAATCTCAGATATGAATGACCTGAGTCTATAAAAAAAAGTAGTCCTAGCTGGGTGTCGCTGGTTAATCAGATCTGCACCTTCATGCAGTCTCTAAGAGTGGGA